TTCATTTTTAAGCACTAAAAACGGATAAGCAATTCTGCAGGAAAATATCAAATCTCCTAATTAAAATACTATAACATAAGTCATAATCACTGATTATTATTAGGTAGTTATTAGTCTTCATTAAAATTATCTATTGCATTAATAATTCATAAAAATATACAACTGCAGGATGCCTTATAAGAGTTCAAGTATAATACAGGTATCTAGGTACCTACTCTTCAGTTTTATACTTTATACGATTTAGTAGGGAACTACGAATGGTTAATGGTTTTCATATCAATCTCAATTATTTAAAACTATAAATTCAAAAGAAGCCTTGCGAACCGAGCTAGTGCACATTTTTGGAAGGAGCTCGATAATCTATGGTTATTGGTTGGGTAGTAGTAGGCAAGGTAGAACAAATTTCCAGAGGGGTTAAGAAATAAAAACAATAAACAAAAAACCTGATGTTTAATTTTTAAGCCTGCGTAATCCGAGAAAATTAAGCAAGGAGGAAAGGGGGGTTGATAAACTTTTAAACCCTCCCCCTCACTCAACAAGTACGGCCAAGGTAACTCTGTGTCTGTTTTGTAATTAGTAATTACCGCCAAGGCTCCGAGTCGTTTTGGTTCGGCCATATAGTCGACGGGATATCGTTTGGAGTGGACGTGCGGCTGTCGTTGTAACCAAACGAAAAGAACCCATAGAGGAATAGCAAATTAGCGAAAATTGTGCACGACGACAGGTATAGTAGAGTGACCGACTGCTTGGTCAGCCGCATAGTGCAGCCGGACGAGCTTTATCGTTATTCGCAAAAATGTTTTATCGATCTCACAACACTTGTGGCGGCGACGACAATTCGATCATTTCGAGACTTCGAGTACGAACGTCGGTCGAATACTGATTGTTGCAATGTTGGTGCAATTAGCAATGTAAATGTGTAATAATTACTGCTCATCCAAAATTTCCAAAACACACCCACACCATAGTTTTCTTTATTCTATGCACCCACACCACAAACTGTGAGCCGTGCGACACAGCTCCACCGCTCAGCACGTAAGTTTCAAAACGACTTCAGAGTTCAGTTCAATTGTTCAAATAATGAGTGCAGACTGCAGAGCCACAAAACTGCAAAAGCTTAAAGCTGAATAGCGCAGTTTAGAGTTTTAGACGACGCTAAACGCCAAAACAAGTACAACAACAAAATATAACAACTGACAATATTATGTAGAGCCAACAATAATCATTTAGATAACCTGAAAATCACACCGGTCACCGATTAACCATTATGAAGTTAGATACGCGTCGCGCGACCGCTTGCCGAATAGCAAATGCCGCGGATGGATTTATGAAATATTTTAATAATAATTAATAATAAAATTATTTATTATTATTAGAGCAGACAGCAGAGACTAGTAGAGGACTTTTAGTTGTAGCATTTGCATATTTGTTTTGCTAAGTCACAAAAATAGTAGATATGAAACAAATACGTAAATATGTTTCATGCTTTCTCAAAGTTAGTTTTGAAATTTTATTTTGCATATAAATGCATGATATTTTAAGTCTTGTTTTTATGGCATATTTTACACTTCTATACGCAATTTTATACTTTTTGAGACATATTTAACTTAAATCAATTTTTCCCACACCTACACTTTTATTTCAAATAATACAGTCCAAATGTCTGAATAAAAATTTAAAAAATGTTTGTCATATAATAGGTAATATTGACTGTCCGCGGGCACGCGTTTTTCTTACAAACACTTGTGGTCTTGAGGATCGTCGATAAGCCCATAATATAATTTGCTGTAGGTATTAATTGTTAACGATCTAATGTTGTACACCATACGACATCATCACCACAGTGAGCCATGTGCGCACTATATGCGGATTGCTGGCTTTTATTCGATTAGGACTAAAAAAATTGTAGAATTTGGTGAAATTAATATTTTAAGTGTATATTATAGGGGTTTTCAATGCATAAGTGCTTTTTTAGAGCTACAAGTCCTTTGTCCTAATTATTATTATTTATAGGTATTATAGGTATATTTATTACAGCAATATAGCCTATAGGTACCGGCAGTGGCGGATTTAAAATAGGTGCCTGCTTAGATCATATACTACTTAGTACTTACTAGTATAATATGATCTAAGGGTGCCTCCATTCCCATTGGTCTAGCATCTAGATTAATAAATTAGGACATTTTTAAATATTTGTGTCGTAAAACTTGGAAAAAGACAATGCCAAAGACAACTCATAATATTAATATATTATATAGGTAAGTAGTTGTATAGTTGTATACAACTATAGTTACTAGTTACCAGTGGCGTATTTACGGGGGGGTCCCCGGGTCTGGACCCCCCCCCAGAAAAAAATATAATATAATATAATTATTACATCGTAACTAGTATGTGTTTTTTTTATATTATAAACTTGTAGGTACCTAATATTTAGACCCCCCCCCAGAAAAAATTTCAAAATACGCCACTGCTAGTTACCACTTACCACGGACTAAGATATAACTAAATATACCTTAGTCCATGCTAGTTACTTAAGTTACTAGTTGAAAGTGAACGAGAGATATTTAAATAGTGAAATAGATCGATAAAACTGTGAATTAATCATGTGAAACATAGAAACCCGCAACTGGTTGGTTTCGCTTGGCTCAGTCTCTACACTCCAACTGTCTCTGACAGCGTTTTCTACCCCTGAGTACGATTTTTTTAATCTTTTGTTCGTATTTCGTCTAATAATATTATAAGGTTTTGTATTCTATTGCCAAAAAAGCACCACTCACAAGGTGGTTTATGAACCAACTTGAGACGCACGGGCCACCATTTTGATACAATTATTTTTTATTTTTTCCTTCACAAGATTCGAGATTTTATGATTTGACGATTCCGGCGACAACAGCAGCGCCATCGAATTTTGAATAATTTCAAATTAAGAATCTTGCAATTCAACATAATATAACTACCGCAGTACCGCCCCATAGGACACAATATGTAATCGTCTTTACGTCGACCGCTTAACGGCTAATGCCGCTCTGGGGCTCTCATCAATCAAAACCTAGGGGGGTGACAATATCATAAAAAAATAACTAAGAACCAACCAAATTGATTTTATTAAATAATAGAAAATAAAGGGGCTTAGTAAGTTTCCACACGAAAATTTACTCACTAAAAATATATAATAAAAATTAATAATATAATGTGTAGGTCCACATATTATTTCATATTAATTGTACTTTCACAAGCATTTGTAGTAAGACTTGTATCAGAACTATCACTAACCCAAATACTAGGGGGGATTGGGGAAACTATATCAATAACAAAATATCAGATTATAACTTAAAAATAATTACACAGTATGACTAAGTGAAGTGTTTGAGCTTTCGCAATAAGCCAAATAAAATATAATTTTTTCTATTACTATTATTATAATTATTATAACTATTATTATTTTATACTTATACAAATAATATATGGACCATACCTACACATTATATTATTAATTGTATTATATATTTGGACTAGATTCAATTAAAGAATTGATTGTACATTTTTTATGCAACACAAAAACAAACAAATTTTAACTACATCAACTATATATTTAAGTTGTCAGTCCTAAGTCTAAATAAAGTGGAAAAGAAGTTTGTATTGGGTGTCATTTTTACCTGCTATATCTCGTGTGGGAACTTACATTCGCCCAAAATAAATGCACAACATAGATGTACCTATGTAATATCAAATATGTCATGTATTATAATATCATCAATAAAAATAATTTATTACAATTACAAAAATTACAATAATTTCACATTTGTCTGGGGGGGGGGGGTGTCATGGCACCTCCTTGCACCCCCTAATGAACGCCCTTGAATTGCCGCAGTATAGTTATTAGTTACTCGGTAATATACACTGTAGTACTGTACGCAGTGGCGTATTTTGAAATTTTTTCTGGGGGGGGGTCTAAATATTAGGTACCTACAAGTTTATAATATAAAAAAAACACATACGAGTTACGATGTAATAATTATATTATATTATATTTTTTTCTGGGGGGGTCCAGACCCGGGACCCCCCCCCGTAAATACGCCACTGACTGTACGTCTGTACCATAACAATATTATAGCCACCAGTATATTATAGGTCAATACTTAATGGTATAAACTATAAAGTACGACTTCGCACATCTTCTTGGAGATTTTTTTCTCTCCATTATCATTTATCATAAATGACGAATTCACGCGAGTGTATTATACAGATTTCTGTATAGTGATGTACTGCTGTGAATTGTGATTATACTCGACCATGAACACAATAATATTATAGCACACCGTACACCGGACACGTTCAACACTTGCACCGGTGCAACTCGCTCTATAATCGTGCTCTACAGTCTACACTCGTGCTCGGCGCTCGTCATAATATTATTACTATTATTATTATTATAACTATTACTATTATTATTACCGTCGTCGACGCGGTAATGCGGTATGTGAGATGTACGTCGTGGTATCCAATCAACCCCACTGACATGTTTTCATTTCGTGATAATAATATTCTCCATGGTTGTGTACAATTCTACGATTATAGTTACTGAATATTGAATATCGTGATCATTCGTGAATCGTGAATAATAGCGAGTTTAGGCACTAGACGACGTATAGTGCAGTTATTGCAGTTGTTGTAGTCGTCGTCGTCGTACACCAACACACGCGACTTATTGATAATAATAATTTAAAAATACGATTATACAACAAACACACGTCACCCACACAGACACACAGCCACACACACACACACACACACACACGCATACCCCGAAACCGGTAAGAGAAGAAAATAATATCACATTATTGTACAGAACTGCAGAAGGCAACGACCAGCGCTCGGCAACAACAAACCGCCGCCGCCGCCGCCGTCACTACCGCCGATTCCACATTTTGTCCGACTACAGTGCGGTACATACTCAGCATCCGTTCAATCATCTCTCTTTAGTTTAGCGCAATATTATTATGTCTGTGTTACCGCGGAGAATACTGAAGGAAACGCAACGTCTGATGCAGGAACCGGTGCCCGGAATCAGTGCCAAGCCGGACGAAGGAAATGCGAGGTGAGACGCGTTTTCCGCGCATAGTGCATCGATGTAATGGTCGATGCACCTACTAATTTGCTACTACTACTATTTTAATTTTTCTGTTAACGTGTGCGCAGGCTACCCGTCTGCGTGAGATTGGGTTCTGTTTGAATTGCGTTTGTTGAATTTTTTTTGTAGGTACCTACTACAGTAGGGTGGACAGATAAAATTTTAAGAAATCTGAGACGCCAAAATTGAATTTATAATCTATATTTTTCGGTAAACCGGTAACGTACCGGGAAATCCGGGACAAATGGCCTCCCTAACCTACAAGTCCCCAGTCGATGCGAACAAATAACGATAATGTACGTCGGTTGTTTTATTTTATATTTTTATGCTGCAGGTATTTTCACGTCAAAGTCACGGGGCCCGAAGACTCACCTTTTGAAGGGGGCCTGTTCAAGTTGGAACTATTTTTGCCCGAAGACTATCCAATGTCAGCGCCAAAGGTTCGCTTCATCACTAAAATTTACCATCCAAATATTGACAGACTTGGAAGAATATGTTTGGACATTCTCAAGGACAAATGGTCACCAGCATTGCAGATCCGTACTGTTCTTTTGTCCATACAAGCGTTGTTGAGCGCACCAAATCCAGACGATCCATTAGCAAACGATGTAGCTGAACTATGGAAAGTCAATGAAATTGAAGCCATACGCAATGCTAAAGAGTGGACACGCATGTATGCCTCAGAAAACTGAACAGTACGCTTTAAGTGAGGAGTATAAAAATAAAGTTAAAAGTTAATAATTATAATAATATAAAATACTCTGAATGAAAACCATTCTAAATCGAGCAATATACTTTATATATTTTTTTCCAACAGTTGTCTTTTAACTAATGGAAATTTATTAAGAATTATAGAAAATGGTAATGATGGAATATAATTGTTAACATATTGTTGTTCCCTCAAATTGTATTATTATGCCTTTGGTATGTAATCACAATGATAACTTAAAAGGGTAGGAAGTTTTACTAGCCTATTCTACTGAATGAAATATAGAACTGTTAAGTCATCAGTGAATACTAGTAATTTACTTATATATATTTATGTAAAACCTATGTATTTTCATTTTAATGTTGTAATGCTTTTCATCAGTTATATCTTAATTTAAACTTGTTCGTAATCTTTTATTATTCAATTTTTTTTTTATGATTATTATTATATTGCTGAGATTCATCATTCTTGTGTGAATAAAACATTTATTTAAGACTTACCTACTTGCCTTTGAGTAAACTATTATGCACCCAATGGGAATGTTTAAATCACTATCCTAAACACTGGTTTTTTTGTCATTAAAGTATATTTTTGTTTGGCCTTCAAATGTAATATATTTTTTTCATAAACCTTAAATTTGCTCATTTTTTCTAGAATAAAATTGATAAATTGGATATATTAAATCTTGATTAAATACAATGACTAAGCAACTCAAACAGTCTTATCACTTTAAGAGGATATCAGTAAAATTATTTTATTGTTAGAATATATGAATAATTGGTTTTAGATTGTAAGTAAGACGCAATTTTATATCATTGGTTTTGCTGAACAATACACTGTTATTCGTTATTATATAAGCCTAAAAAAATTAATGACTTCCACTTCACTTTGTTTGAGGCAAAATTATTCTAATTAAATATATTTAATATAATGCCATGTGATTTTAAAATTACAATTAATTAATAGTTCACAATACCTATGTTTTGAATATTTTAAGAGAACTTGACATATGTTGTAATCTTGTCAGTGAACATGTTTACATTTTGTTTATACTATAACTGTTGTATACTTAAAATATACTTGTATACAATTAAATATGATCATTTTTTTTAAAAATTATATTTACTATAGGGGCCAGCAAATCCATCAAACACTAAAACCTTGCAAGCATTCCAATTATATGCCTATGCTTACTAACCTCTGCCCCTTGGTATGTAACCAACAAAAACCTCCACAAACACCTTAATATTCCAACCCTCAACGATTAAGCCAAATCTCATTACATAAAACTCTACCCAAAACTTCTCGTTCATTCAAATCCATTAATTAAAAATCTATCCACTACCTCACTCATTCCTAGAAGGTTAAAAAGAAAATGGCCAAGGGAGCTGCTCAATGCTTAAATAAAAAAATTTAAAAAAAACCTAATTTCTAGTCAGGTGGCACTGCTGGGAGCCTTCCTATTAATGTTATTTTATGTCTCACATTGTTATGTCACCAAACTTACTCATTATACCTTGTAATGTTGTATAGATTGTAAATATACTTTTTAAAATAAAATAAAAAAAATTATATTTGTTAAATATAAGAAAAAGAAGTAATTTAAAAACTATGTACGATTTAAATAATCACCAAGATGTGTGTTCCATATTTAACACTGTTGAGCGAAGCTCCACTCTTCACAACACTAGTTACTAACCAATATGGCAATATACATATTCATTCCAAGTGCAATAATTTTATAAAATGGCATTTATACCCTACAACAAAAGTGGAATTATAATTTGATTTCTGAGTTATGGCAGGATTCTGAGAAGCCTTCTAAAAAAATTGCAAGTCATCAGCTCATATTTATTAAGGCTTGAACAATTTTTATTTATTCTGTACTAGTTATTAAAAAGCACAACTCGACAATTAAAAACTCTGAAACTACAAATATATATACATAATCATTATGACGGCGCCACACTGACATTTGTTGTTTCTGTCTTACAAATGTACATGACAAATGTTATGTACACAATAACACATTTTACTCTGGAATTTCTAAAATTAGATTGAATTTACCTCTTATACAATTTATTAAAGGTAAGAATATTATCTAAGGCATCCTGAAGGATTTTATTGATATTATTATTTTTAAGTAAGTAATAATCATTTTAAAATGTACAGTCAAATGGGCATGAACTGCTTCTCAATAAAAATAATATATCAATAAAAACCTCTAAGATACCCTAGATAATAATCTTACCTTTAAATTGTATAAGATGTAAATTCACTCTTTTTTTAGAAATTACAGAGTAAAATGTGTTATTGTGAAAGTAAAATTTGCCATGTTGTAAGTATGTAAGATGAAGACAACAAATACCCGTGTGGCGTTCTCTATCCAGTCTATACTATCTTAGTTTGGGATTTTTATACAAATTATATTCGTGATTACTGATTAGGTTCATGATATAGATAGCTTAAAATTGGTCTAAGTATTTTATTAAATTTCAACTAAATTGTTGGAGAAATTTGAACTTTAAACATAATCTTGTAAAAACCTGTTATGTAGGAAAAATCTTGTATTAAATTTTTTAGCCTTTGGGGTATTAAAATTGAACATGAGGATTGAATAATATTTTGTAATCCAAAAGATAACTTGTTAAAAATAATGGTGATTACTTTTAAACAAATTACCGACAAAGTAAAAATGTTCTTCATTTAATAATTGTATATTTAATTATAATTAATTAAACATTCAATTACAAAATATTATATTTTAGTGAATTGTGAATTTAACATAATTTAAAAATAGTTGCGATTGGCATTTACACAGCTGCGATGACTGATGAAACTGTAATAAATGTTTCAAGAGATAACCCCTCCATAGTAAAATTTTGTTACAACCTAATTTTTAGGATGAATAACTGTGGTAATAATATGTTTGCACTCATTATAGCTATTTCACTGTTTTAACATTTTACATTTTACAACTTGATTGACTATATCATTTCAAACAAATCAAGAATCGTAATTTACCTATTCTTTTTTTAACGTTTTCATGAAGTTTTAGGAACAATGATAGTTAAATGATTCTTGTGGTCTTTCTGCTTGCACTAGTCAATTTAGTTTTTTTACAACTGAACCGTATAATTTTTACAAGGTTATGTAATTAATTATTATTTTATATGTTCATTTCAAATGACCTTGTATATTTTATTATGTTTTGCAGCCCTCTAAAATTGGATGATTTTTTTTATAGATGAAGACATCTTATTGTACATTTTATACACTTGAAGGCTTGGGAAGTATTTAAAAAAACTTTCAGTGGCAAACTATCTACCAAACCTTGGCTATATTATATTATAAATATTTCAGATTTAAACTGGTAGAAAGAAATTTTGTAAACATTATACATATTAATATATTATTATGTATTGATATATTATATAATAAATATATATTTTAAATATTTATTTTATTTTTATTATAATACATAATATTTAAGTCTAATGACCACAATAAATATTAAGATTAAAAATTACATCATAACATGTTCATTCACGACAATGACTAGAATAATTAGGAATTAGAATTGTCACAGCTAATGCGTCCATAGACACATTTTATATATGATACGTAAATTTGAGTTGTTCAAATGACGACAATGCTGTTGTGCTTACAATGTTGTTGGTCAAAGTATAAATGAATACAATGCTACAGCAATGTCATATGCATTAGCAATAAAGTAATTATCACAAATAAAAAATAAAATAACAATAACATTAAAAAAATAATAATAAAAAATACCAAATAAAAGTATATAAAAAACAAACATAATGTATGAAAAAATAAAAAGTAGGACCTTAATTAGATTGATTAGACTTAGAAAAACAATTCAATGTATAATACAATAATATAATAATTTTTTGTGATATGGCAATATTTGATAAATTGTGTTTTAAATGTGTACGAGATGTATTTTAAAATCATCATGCAGATGTTCGCTCTAATGTTTTAGAGTTTTGGAATCTCCAAATGCACAAAATAATAACAAAAAACATAAATTGAAAATTAAAATCAAACAATATTTGGAAAATGGTTGTTTCCATATTACTTTCTTTTTTTCAATCCTTGATAATTTTTATGATTAAAAAGGAAATGGGAGAAGATACCTGCAAAATTGTGCAAGAACCCTTTACTAGTCCACAAACTGACCAGGTAGTGTAACAACTGTTCAGAGAGATACAAAACCTAATGTGTACAATATATTTTGTTGAGTAATACCGCAACATCTCACAAATATACTTTTAACTTAAACTCATAATGGCAAATTATTTTTACATTCATTGTATAGACTATTCATGTTTTAAGACTAGATGAATACAGGTGTCTCTTGACCAGTAAGAAGACGAAACATGGATGTTGGCATTGTTTTCATCAAAATCTGTAAACATATTAAAGAATATAAATATAATATTTAACTTTTAAATTATTATTGTGTTTGTGTATATTATCATATAATAAACTAATAGTTATAATATAAGGTATAACAATAAACAAAAATATTTATTACTTATCACACAATGCATGCAGCATTTATTTATAAAAAACCGGTCAAGTGCAAGCCGGACTCGCGCCCTAAGGGTCCATCATAGCTATAAACATGTTGGAAACACTGCTTATATTATATATTCTAGGATTTTTAGTATTAGTTGTTATGCGGCAACAGAAATACATAATCTGTGAAAATTTCAACTTTCTAACTTTCATGGTTCATGAGATACAGCTTGGGGACGGACGGCGGAGCATTAGTAATAGGGTCCCGTTTTACCTTATGGAACCCTTAAAAACTAGGTTTAGGTATAATGATACTAGGTAACGCCACAAGAAAGTGCAATTTTTCAGAGCATTCAAATAATAGCGCAAGGCCTAATTTCTCTCACCATGCAGTGGCCGTCACTGCCAGTCGTAAGCGGACTATGATGTGTTTTTTTTTTTTGGGGGGGGGGATACCTAATTGCTTTCTCTGACTGGACTGCGTAAATTCAGGTTCAAAAAGTAGGGATTTTATTTATTTTGATTACACAATTTGTTTTTAATTGAGAGGGCATCACACCTGCATGTGTTGTCTCCGTCTTACACATGTTTAATGCACGTCATAGATAAAACACGTTTACACAGCCTGAATTGAACTCTCTCAATTTTGGTTCTAGAGTAAAAATACCTATTATAAAATTGAATAGTGTCAAATATTTCTGAGGGCAAGTCATAGCATTTTTTCCATTATACCTAATATAACGTTCTTTATATCATTTAGAAATAGAAAAGATTTCAACATTTTTAGAATAACTTTAACTTTCAAAAATTAAATTTTTTAAAAAATAAACTCAACGGTTTGCCCTCAGAAATATTGTCACAATTCAATTTTATAATAGGTATTATAACTCTTGAACCAAAATTGAGTGAGTTCTACCCATACTCCGTAAACGCATTTTGTCTACGTCATACGTGTGTAAGACATGCTAGTGTGACATCCTCTTAACTTAAAATCAAACCAGATGCGATATTACAGATAAAACTATTAATTAATAGTATAATATTGTTTGTGTATATAATTCAACTCAAATCAATAACTTCATTCATCAGAAATAAATGCAGATGTGATTCAAAAAATTTAAACACTGTTGGAACGAGTGCATAGTTTCAGTAGGCCAATGTTTCGAAGGAGTTTCATTTCAATAGTATATTAATTAATATTTATATTTAAAAAAAGTATCAAGTCCCTATTGTTTATGAAAACATCTCATATTATGATCTATAAGTGATTCACTATTATAATTTATTTCTCAAAGTATTTAATTTGTAATAACTTAAAACATTGTCTTATTACTTCACCAACTGAAGTTGCCAACAGGTTGACAATTTTTTCATGTGGCACAGCTACCACACTTTGATTGTTTATTTCAATAATCCTATGGCCAACTCGTACCCCACCACGTTCTGCAATTCCACCACGAAGTAAACTACATATCTGTTAAATAAAATAAAATATACTTAATACTTTAATTTAAATACAAATAATAAAATAAATAGCATTCTCACTTACCACACCATTTTGAACACTAAAACCAAGTTGGTATTTTGTGTCAGGTCTTTTTATTTTCACTTCGACCACAGGGGCACATGGAACAACAGTTAATTTAATCACTGTTTGAGGTTTAGAATTCTTTAAAAAATAAAAGAAATAAAAACAATTTATTAAAATTTAAGTGTTTAAGCTAATTAAAGCAACAGTGTGATGAATATATTTAATAAACAGTACCTTGATATAATTTTGACAAGTGGACAATGGGAGGCCAACTAGTGATACACCATTAATAGCAATGATTTGGTCACCAATATTTAACTGACCACAGCGTGCAGCTGCTCCGGCTGGAGCCAGGTTGGCTATCACAACAGTAGGTAACATTGAACCCCAACCTGACTCAACAATCACAACACCGAGTATTTCACCTTTAGATTTTGGAACTACAACCTGACAGCAAAATAAAAAAATTTCAGTATAACTGACATAAATCAAACAAATTATAATATACTTCTTTTTGTAATTCTTTTTTTGCAAACATTTGCAATTCATCTCCAAAGATTTCTTGTGAATTTAATACTTCTTGATAGTCCATTTCTTTGACAAAGCTATGATCTTCGATGCCGTTTGCTTTTAAGAATTCCATATATGCCACTTGAAAGGCCTGGCCAATAGATTGGGCAATAAACTGTGCCTAAACATAATAAACAAAATTTAACATGTACCAATTTAAAATAATAAGTTCACCATCTCAATAAATCATTGTAAATAATTAGTAAAAACTGCTAACCATCAATTTAAAACTTCTAGTTAGGTATAGTGATATAAGTAGAAAATTTAAAAGAAAAAATTTTTATTTATTTTCAATTACATACATTTTGTTGTGATAAAAAGGCAATACTGCAAATGCTATACTAATTACCAATTATTAATATTATCATTACCTCTGTACTTATTAATTATGTTTATAAACAAAATACTTAAATTAATAAAATGTTTACAGTGTATTTTTAATGTTATGAAATATAATTCAAAATGCAATGAATATTTTTTATTGTTACGCCCCATAAATAAATAATTAAGCTTTATTAAAAAATTAAATTAAATTTTGAAATTTCTGAAATTGTACATCACTAGTTAGATATAAACAAAAATATGTATTATTATTTATTACTGATATAATAGGTATTAAATAATGTTGAAAACTACATAGTTAATATCCATAGTATATGACATGTACAGTATAGTGACATGTACAGTATACATGTACAGTATATGACATGTGTCAATTTACACTTGAGTAAATATAAAAAAAAACTATCAAAAAATTATGGAGGGGCCAATTCTATTGACAAATTCTAGATATAATTATAAATAATTTAGATATTTTATATATCTTACTTCATCACTTTCAAAAACGTGGCATATCATTTTGGGAGTTCTATTGTTGGCTGTTTTGTCAATGCCGTTTACACTTGAAGGCACTAATGCAGTTTCTGTGGTGGATTCAGATGCTTGGTGTGTAAGGAAACAACGTCTTCGAGCCATTAACACAACCAGTTCACCAATATCGGCTATATAAGAAATGGTCCTGAGGGCATGATCCATCATGATTTCTTTCAAGTCAGTGTTGAGAACCATTATTTTTTCAGTTGATATGAAAAGATCCACTTCTGTACTTGGTTGAGTCTCGCCATCAGGAGCCTGCCAAAATAAATACAAATTATTATTGCAATATTATTAATATTAACACAGTTGATTTATTTTACTCGTCCAACTTACCAAAGCCTATTTTATTATCCAAATGTAACGAAGCAGAATAAAATAAAATGAATACAGAAAAGATTAAAAACAAAATATTATTAGTTACATTACTTTTATTCTAGACACTGCTTCTTCAGCTTGCATCATCCTAGTACTTTTTGTCGGTTGTCCTTCACAAGCCAACTGCGTAGAACCCAAGTAGCGTGCTCGGAATAAAACGCCTTCAATTAATACTGCAGGTTCGTGAATCATAACTAAATACCAAATAAAAATTTAAAAATATATGAGAACAAATTTTAGGTAACTATACTTAAAATAGTTTCGTAAATTTAATTTCACTTTCAAATTCATACAATTTCAATCACTAGTCTTGTAAGGTTTTAATATAAGGTAATAAAACGTTGCTATGTAACAACTTAAGAAAATTTGTAATGAAGTATTAGATATTACTATTTTGTTCTAATATTTTGCATGTATATATAATTAAAATTTAAACGTTGACAATTTCACAACGTTAACATATTTAAAGCGAGTGATTAATGTTGATTATAAAAGTTGTGTGTTTTATTGGACTTACCGTGCAATCAAGTGCAATATTGTGTTAATTCCGTGTTGTGCAGTTGATAAAAAAAATAAAAGCATTATTGTTAGTGTTAGAATAATGAATTTAAAAAAAAAATAAAAAAAATGGAAATAGTATTTTAAAAATATACTATACATTCTAGGTTACAAAAATTTAACAACTATCATTAATTTCCTTTTTAATATAAAATATGAACAATTGTTAATTTTTTTTTTTAACACAACTAACATACCTAAGAGCTACAAAACATTAAAATGTATACTATTCATTCACAATATCATAGTTTAAATAATAAATATTAATTGTTTAAAACTTAACACACAACTTCACAGTCATAATACTATTATATGAAACGTGCACTCATAGAAGCAAGGAAAGTAAATTAAATATATAAACTCAAATCCATTTCTTTAGACAAAAATTTAACATAATTCCAGAGTAAACTAAATGGTATATTTTATAATGGAAAAAATGATTTAGAGTGAGAATGTAAGGTTTTTAAATTAAAAGCGAAAAATTATTTAGCCAAAGTAGAGTAAAAAATTTAAATATAAAAATCAATAATAACTTAGATTTATAAAAATTGAAGAGTATAAACAATTTTAAATTAATTAATTAAATATTAAAGTCATAATAATTATGTATAATAATATATATTATACAAATATATATTAATTTTAGTGCGAAATGTTGTTAAAACCGTGCAGATAAAGTTATAAGAAAATAATTCATTCTTATCAAAGCATACCTGTTTGGTGTTGAGGTATTCCTAACGGAATAACAAAAACAAAACAAAGCTGTTAAGATACATAATATATTATAGTATATTTACACATAAAAAAAAATTCTTTTGGATATTAGGTTTTTTAGGAACTTGTCTTGCTTTGCTTTGCTCTCTTGGTGAAATCCTATGTTGTATTAAGTATGAAAAAAGCGTTTGAAAACGTCTCTGAATGTATTTCTGTGTACTCAGTATAATAGCAGATTTCTTTATGATTTAATTACTTGTATAAAAATGTACATGGTACATTTTATGAAATAATAACAAATTTCTAAAATTATATATACAATTAAAATATAATAGGTTTTTTTTTTAATATTTTATCCTGTATATAAAACACTAAAATAAATAATCTGTGAACATTTTTAATATCGAGGATTAAAATAATAATGTGTACTGTCAGGTGGGACACCGAGCTTACAAATTAAACTATAACTGATTACTGCATTTGCATTTTTATCGTTATCTACTTAGTAATACATTGCATTTGAAAATGTCATTGTATGTAAGAATAAAATATAGTGATATATGGTAAAAGTTTCAAGTTCCCACGCACAATATTTTTGAATTACAACCATAACTTAAATTGTTAATCCTTGTTTAAATACATAATTTCATCCAAATTTGAAATATCAATAAAACAAAAAAAGTGTTTATTTATATATTATACTATATTTTTTAAAAAAAACTTGGGGAAAAATAATTTGAAAATGAATCAAAATAAAATTATGCCATAACAGACTAGATTTTGATTATGTGATACCAGATTCTAAACATGTAAATATTTTTATATTTTTCATATACTCCAACGACATATTTAATACAGTGTAATTTTTCGTTAAATCATATTTTTGTATTTTATAGGACTTGATTAGCCACTGTTCCTAGTTTTTCACTTACCACCCCACCTGACTCTACTTATAACCATCGAGAATTTTTAGTCAGGTACAATATTTTGGACTACATTTTTAATTAAAAAGTTGAATTTTGTTATCTCATAAAAACTATCGGGGATTTAAAAAATTATCTTACAAAGTATCAAATTTTTAAATTTGTAAATAAGCAAGATACAACTTTTGAAGTAGTCTTCCAACCCACTAAAACTGCTAAGGACATATATATAATACATTTAACATTAATATACTTCTACCTTCACTCAGAAACCTATAGATATATATTAATTAAGTATACATATTAGCGGTGGCCGTAATTTATGTATATTAAAAAATATTTGTAACTAACAAACTCGACGTACTTTGCTGCTAACAGGCAAGCTGATAGCAAGTGTAAAAAGCATCATTATTCATAACCTCAAGTTTAGTTAAGTTTTTTAGTGAAGCACAATTATTGTTAAAATAATATTTTTATATAAAACTATAATATATTGCCTTTAATGTGTTGACTAGCAATAAAAGCATTAAAACAAAATCATTATTGAAAACTGCTGAAAATTGCTTCTCAATTTTCCATGCGGCATAATAATATATTAGCGCTTATTCACTTTTTTACAATTTATTAAAATTATTATTTTATCATTTCAATTTTACTGACCTTCTTTATTGCGAGCTTTTTTCTTAGTTCCATCTTTCTCCTATGGGAAAAAGTATTATTGTCAATAATATCAATAACTCAAACATACTTTGAAATTTTAACAATCCAACATAAATATAATTTAAAAACACTTCATTCCAATATTCAATACAGAGAAATAATACTACATAAACAATTAAAGGATTACGACATTTGTAAAGCATTTATTTATATGGAATGAAGCAGATACAATAAAAGTAAAAATCCTAACAACAAGTGATTATAAAATTGATTTTATAATATTAATTTGAATAGTCTATAGAATACTAATGAAAATACTTAATTTGTAGATAAAATATTTATTTTGAAATTTGGGTTAGATATTTTAAATGTACAACTAGACTTATTTGTTCTACAATTTTCAAGTCTTAAATTTCATCTATCTATAATAAAGTCAGCTTTTTTATGGTTTTTTTTTTGTTTAAATATAAAGTATCTATAGATACTTATAAATCAACAAAATGCTGATCAATTATTTTTGGCAAATTTTGAAATGAAAATGGATGTTATTAATTATATTATGTAGGAATTTATTAGATTTTAAGCTATTGCATAACAATATATTTTCTTTTGGTGAATCAATTTAACTTAAAAAAATCATACATCAAAATACAAATCTGTTATACACATTTGTAAGATACTTAAAACTGAAAAAAATAGAATGAAGTACACCACTAACAAAAACAAAAAGTAAATCATATTTAATCAAATTGAGAATAGTTAAACATCTATGTTTAAATTAGTTTTCTTAGTTTTATTTTTAACAATATTTTTTACAGATTGATTTAAATGATTTTTTAATATCACTTCAATAGTAATCATATAAAAAACAACAACTAGTAATACAAGAGTAGAAATTTACAAGAGAATTTTAACTAGTTACAATTTAATATAAATGATAATATGGAATATTGTAATTCTAAGATAATTAACCAGTTATAGCGATTGTGAAAGAAAAAATATTTGAAACAATGAATCATTTTATTAACAGCACAGTGTTCTAATTCATTCTATAAAATCATCACCTGTTGTAAGAAATGTAGGTAGTAGGTACTAAAAGCTAAAATCAAAACTGTGTAATGCAAATACAAAAAAAAAAGAATAGTGTCAAATATATTTATGACCGACAACTACAACCAAAAAAAGAATTAAATCAATAAACTATTAAAATGTCTAAAATTGAACACAAAAGCACATAGGCAAACCTTTTTTGCAGGGTTAAGGGTTTGGGTTACGATGAATGGTTTTTCAATTATAGCAGCCGGTTCTACGGGTGTAGGATGTGTGGACGTATTGCTTGATGACGACGTCAAACTAAACGGTAACATAGACCGTGTTTTTGACTTCTTCCAGTCCTGTGATGATATTTTATACAAAACTAATTTGTTTTCTTTTAATTTTTTGTAACTTAAATACTTATTTTTTTTTCAAAAATTAAAATTAAAAATTAAAATAATTGACCGACTGGGTTAGAAACACATGTCACAATTGCTCAAACAATATACGCCACTTGAGTAAATACTATAAAACCACTAGGGGTTATCAAAGTGTTAGGGAAACAAATTGTATAACTTATTTAAAAAACTTACAGATTTTTCATCAAAGAATCCAGTGTCATCAGTTCTTTGTTGTCCTAAAAGTCTATCTGTTTCTAAGTCTGTATCAGCTTCTTCTAGTAAATAAACACATATAAGTAAAACCAAAACTATAGAAAATAATAAGTATATAAATACCTTCGTCACCACTAGGTCCAGATCCAGTTCCTCTATGCCTGTTAAAAAAACAAAGAAGAGATTAAGTAAAAAATAAATAATTTTGTATTACAAATATATTATACTTTAACATTAAATCTTAAAAGATAAACATTATAAATATTTCATACCAATAAGCAATAATCGATTTTATTTTGAACCAATGATAAAAATAATAACAGTGTACTATTCTGTCCTGCAAAGCAAGTGCCGTAAGTCGAAAAAAATTTAAAAATTTAGTTTGATATGGCATCTGATAGGCATAGGCGTATGCACGGGAGGGCCGGGTTGGCCGCGGCCCTGCCTGAGGCCCCTGGCTTTTTTTTCAATAAATACATAGATATCTATGATAAACAAATTAGCGAATATTTTTACATTTTACATGAAAAAAGTGAAGCCAGTTTTAATCTCATTGCATAGATGAACCTGTGAATAAATGTATTAAAGTTATTAATTAATCAGTTATCATCGACCAAATGATTTATTATTATCACAGAATACTCTACTATATTAGCTAGTGGACTATTTTTTTTATCACAGTGTATCTTAGTGGCGTACACAGGATATTTCAATGGGGGGGCTTGAAAATTAGTTACAATTTTATTTTTATTTTGTCCAGTCTAATAATTTCAGACGTTTATTTGAGGTAGTTTAAAATGTTTGTAACTTTTCAACTTTTCTGGTAGAAAAAATGCTCTTATCATAAGCTTCGATGCCCAGTGTATGTTTTTGGAAGCAAATTGGATCTAGATGGTACTTTTAGGAGGTCGAAATTGAATCTGCTCAGTGCTTTTTAAAATAATTGGAAAAAAAAAATTAAAATTTACTAAAATTGTCTGGAAACCAGCTTGGTTATACCGTCCTCAATTGGATTGTATTTGATAAATTAAAATTTTTTTTCTTTAAATGTCAATGAAAAATTATTTATCCGGTCAAAAAGTTAAAAATGTAATAAGTAAGTTTTTATTATAGCTAAAATATTAACGATACATAGGCATCATGGTTATTTTTTATAAGCATTTAAAGTTAAAATTTTGTCAAAACCACAGTTAATTTGTAGTTCAAAACTTATAAAATATTAAATATGTATAGCTAAGGCTAGACAATTTAATACAAGGTCTTTAATACAAGTAGTTCATACTTTTACCGAAAAATTACAGATAATTTATGAAAATTGGTATACAAATACAATGTTTGTTCAAAAATGAATTCATTCTAGTAAGAAATATATGAAACTTACGTCTTGCTTACTATAGTTGACAGTTGAAACTTGATAAATATATTTTTTTGTAAGTTATAATAATACGGGCAATGGGGGGGGGGGGGCAATGTAGTTCTGTAATTTAAAAATACAAAAATAAAATATTTTGTATTTACCTCCTTAACATGTACTATAACACTATTATGTCATCAATAAATATTATTTCTATGGGGGTTATAATAGATATTAACGTAGAGCATTAGTTTTCAACTTTTATTAAACATGTATTCTAAAGTTATAAGATAACTAAAAAACATGGTGTTGTCCGAATTCACCCCAATTTTACGGTAGTCATTAGTAGAAAAATCTTTGGTTCAGGCATTTTTAAGGGGCCCCCCCTGCGGACAAAGTCTGCACACGCCTATGCTGATCGGTTTATCAATTTTACACAATATTTGTATAAAAAATAAAAATGAAATTACAATGAATAAACTAACAAATAATAAAGGTATAATAAAATGAAAAATACAAAACTAAATTTTTCTTAAAACTAATATATTGGTTTAGTAGGGCAGTATTATTTTACCTTGGTACCCAAATAGGTAAATCTTCAGTTTTGGCAGTATTTGAATTTGTACTATCTTTGCTAGGGCTGCAACCTGGAGATATATCATCATCCACATTAGTAGTTTTCAATGGTTTTGTTTGTCTAAGACTAGATCTTATTTCATGAATAGCAGCTTCAACCAAATCAGCAGATTCATTGGCACTGCGATGTGCTGTTGGTGCTGGTGGAGGAGGAGTTCTGCTCTCGTCAGGTCTCACTAAAACCAAATATATGTTTTGTTTTGAACTTATTTTAATAATATAGGATGGTTATATTTATTATATAGGTGTTAGTAAGACGGACAACACCTGCGGGTTTTCTGTGTAAATACTAATTTATCATAGTTATGTTTTTAATCATGTCATGGTTAATTCGAAAAAAATTCAAAAAAAATCTAAAATAATATTAAAGTTCAAATTTGTTTGAGGAAAAATGATGTTTCTGTTTGTGGAAACCTTAAGTTTTACCCTTCCCTAATTATCATGTAAGATCTTGTTAGCTGAATGTAAAGTTATTTTTAGTTATTTTTATAGTATTTTTTGTATTTTTTATACAATCAAAATATTATTTTTCAATAATTTAAAAATTAGGTGCAACCACACTAACTTAAACTATCAGTATATATTTTATAAAAAAACAAACCTAGTGAATCCAATAACTGAATTCCAGTTTCTTGGCTATTGGAATGTACCACCTCACTTGTATTTGCATCAATGCTATCACATTTACTGGCTCTATTTGTACGTTCTATAATTTCTCTTTCAATCTCACTAATTTGTCTTTTCATTAACAATACCTAAATAGATAGACATGATATTATATAAATCATAAAAACATAAAATATAAATTACATACAGTTGGATTATTATTATCTGTATCACTAGTATGACCACTAGACAATCCATCTTCTAAAACTGGCATGGTGATACAGGTTACACCACATAATGGAATTAGGTGTTGACCATCCACCATAGATGATGATTCACCATCACTACCCATACCAGCATCTTCACAGTCTGTTACTTCAGGTGATAAAGTTACATTACGACTATACCTTCCAACACAACTCTAAACAAATATTCATCACACAACATATTATTTATATACTCTGCAATTAAATAATTATACATACTTGATGAACTCCAGCTAAACATCGAGAACCATCTGATGAAGAATCATGTTTATGTGGGGATAACTGTGAGTTTTTGTGGACATCTTCATTTGATAGATGCATACCAACATATGTATTACCTTGTTCAGAAACTGGTATTCTTCTTCGCAATTCATATTCCAAATCCTAAGAAATTTATTAAGTTAATTAAATAAAATCATCACATAAAATATATTACTAATAAGTAATAATTAAAAATAAAATATACAAATAAATCCTACCTCTATCAAACATATAGGGTGATTCACTAAATACAATATAATTTTTAACATAGGTCTTAACAGCCATTAAATCCTCCCTGCTTTGCGAATATACTGCACTAACAAAATAATCAAAAACTTGACATGATACTGTCCACATAAAATTTTTCCAATGGAATAAGGTCCATAAGACTTATACAGTCTAGAACAGTGGTTCTCAACTTATGTGTCCCACAAGCTTTTGAATTTTTTTTTTATAATAATTATTTGTAACAAAAATATAATATAAAGAGTTATAAAGGTAATAAAATATTAGTTAATTAATTTTAACGTACAATTTTGTTTAATTTTGTGAAATAAATCAAATAATTGCCTAAAAAAAAAGTGTCTTTGTTGAAGAAAAAGTTGCTCATGACTGACACATATGCCGTGAAAAAGTTGTGAAAAGCAGTGTGTGCACTGTTTAAAAAAATTTTGAAAACCAATGGTCTAAGAAATATGATGCGTATAAGTATGAAATACTAAGCTCTACATTTCTTTTACTGAAGTATACAATCATTCTGAGTGCACTTTAATTTCATTATTGTAGTTTGAGCATTTACCCTTCTCATTTATCCCGTAGACCTTATACTAGATCTTGAGAAAATAAATTTCTGTACAATTTATTTCTAATAAAATCTTTTTTATCATTTACTAAGGTTAGGTATGGACGTATGGTATAAGGTTTATAATTTATAAATTGTATTGTGCATGCTCTTATGAATGGTTGGAAATATATTTTTATTTTAATGACTATTAGTTGTATAGCTATAGTCCAGTAGGGGCACTAATGGGTTTAAAATCAGGATCGTTGCCACATCAAAGTAGGCATATTTCAAATTTGAACAAATGCATTACTAAACAATAAAATATTCAGGAAAACATAATCATTGTTAGGTGAATCACCTGTATAAAGAAATAATTTAACTTTAACAAAAATTAAATATAAACTTAAATTAAATAACATTATAATTCATAGTATCATAAAAAAAAATATATTATTAAATACCTGGAATTGCAACTGTTGAGTATCTTGATTTTCAGCTCCAGATTTAAAGAATTCTTCCAAAACTTTTCTAGTCTCTGAAAATTCATACAAATAATCGAAATTCATAGTTGGAGATGGACTGGAAGATCTAGAATCATCTTGAATCACTCTCTAATAAAAATAAAAATTATTAGCATTAAAAAAAAAACAATAATATTGATACTATCATTGATTATAAATACTATAGATTGTTCACTGGCCGGTTTTTTGGTGGCACAATATATTTACTCCTGGTAGATGGAGAGGCGACGTGACTACTAGCGATTACAATGACATTACTAACCTCAAGCATGCACTCAATAACACAGACACCCGAATTAGTAATGTCTTGTAACATTGTAATCGCTAGTAGTCACATCGCCTCGCCATCTACCGGGAGTTCATATTTCGTGATACTGAAAATCAGGCCAGTGAGCAATCTATAGTATTTATAATCAATGATACTATGTATACAATAAGCATACTTGAGGAAATCCAGGTCGAGGCATATAAAGTGTAGGAGATGATAATAAAGATGGCATTGATTGTTCTTCCTCCCTGTATTGTTTCGGTGATCCATTAAAATCATTTGCCTGAACTTCACATTGAGACCTAACTAATCCATCAGTGTTTTCAGTGCTAGATATTTCTGAACGATTACTATTTGCAATCATATTTAAATCACCATTTTGACTAGTCTATAAAAAAAAAATAAAAAAAAATATTGATCATTGAATTTTTTAAAAAAAAAAGCCTTTCATACTTTATAATTTAAATGGTGTTGACAAGAATCAATTGTTTGGTACGTATTTTTATGATGATGCATCCCGTAGTGCCCAATTGAAGCATCATGTTGAACTTTATCCCACATATCATTATGTATATCATCAAACAAAACTGGATCATCTAATTCTAAATTTATTAAAAATAAAATTCGTTTAATTTTTATAATTATTCTCTTACCTAAAGATAATGGTCGTTGATGTTTGGTAGGTTTTACATCAGTAGAAAATACTGGTTCAGAAATCTCTCGTGAAGATTCAGTGCTAGAAACATCGAGTCCTCTATAAAATACATAATATAAACATAAAATATAAAGTTAAAAAAATAATACTGAAGTGTAAATAATAAAGTTAGGTACCATTAACTTATATTTTTAACTTACCTATTGCGAAGTTCCCATACCCGGCCAGGTGATTTGACCCAATCAACTTCTGTAGGCAAAGGTAATTGACGAGTTTTTCGTCCAGGTTTACTTCGACTTTGACTATAGACTTCTCGACCTCCAGCTATTTCTATTATTCTGTAAGTTAATCACAAATATAATTGAAAATAGTTTAAACTATATGAATGCTCAACTTTTTCAGATAGTTTAGTAAAATAATATTGGCAAACCTTGAATCTCTCAATTTATAGGTAGATTGTTGTGATGTCAAATTGAGTTTATTGGAATTTCTTGTTCGATTAGTCGCCCCAATGTCCACATTACACATGCCCCCGGATTCACTAGATGCATTCTTGATATCAGATTCATCATCATCGTCTTCATCCATGTTTTCATTAATTTCTTCCTCATCGTCTTCAATACTAGTTTCTAATGATGAATCTTGACTAGCATCACTATCACTTCTTCTGCGAGTTCGAAATTTTCTTATTCCACGAATGCTACGTTTTCTAGTACCATTTCCACGTATGTTATCACACCTATTAAATAATAAGGAATGTTTTAAATTAACCTTAAAATAATAGTATAGTAAAACTGTTTAAGTTGATTTCCAAATTCCAAGTAACCAGTAGAATAATGCATTAAGCAGGGAATCTTTCATCAAGGAACTTGAGGATGATGACTTATACCGCAGAAAATTGTATTAAGCTTACTGTATATTCATAATTAGTACCTATTTCTTTGACGTTCATTTGGCTGAGTCAAATCCATATCATGGTCTGTGTCGTCGTCACAGAGGGGATTTAAATTTAAGTCTGTAGATCGTACAGTAGATGGGCGACACTTAGGGAAAATCTTAGATAAATCATCATTGTCCAGTTTCAAGCCTATCATAGCTTTTCAAAATACGGGTCCCACCGTTTCTGAAATCTAAAACAACAAAAAAATATATAAATATTTTAGTTTACAAATTAATCAACTATTGTCAGCACTATAATAATAAAATATTATAATGTTCTAAAAAGTAAAACAATTATCTATAGATTTTGCTGGAGTAAATCAATATTAAGTACCTAGAATATTCAAAAACAATACAGGGCGGATGTTAAAATTTGTTTTTCTTACAAAACAGTCATTATTAGAAACATATACATTATACAATTTGGCTACATTGTAGTTGTTATGGTAACTAACAACTAACATTAGAAGTTCAAGAAAAGATCAATTGGTAATTCGTTTATACGGCAAACCCAACATAAACATTATTGTACTTTAAAATTTTAGTCAAATACTGTATACATTAAAGTACATGTTTGGAGTACCAAATAAGTATTGTAAATACTTAATGAATGTTTTTCATTACTGGATCAGTAATATTGATTTAATTTTAATAGCAATATCAGTGTATATTATATTTTTCAATTACAACTATATCTAGGTACCTATCTACATTTATTAATTTGACGAAAATTCCACTAAATAAATATTTTTTTACTATTGACTTCTGTTTTAATAGATTATTGTTTTAACTTCATAGAGATTGAAATTTAATTTGTTTACAAGTTATAAGAGAAGTATGATAACACAAATATTTCACATAGAAAATTAATTGCCCGTGTATCATATTATACATTAATATCCCACAAAATTATGTATACCATGTATACATAATATCACCTACATGTATATTTATAATTCTTCTATTCATAAAATTATACAGATTGTTTGAATAACAAAACTGCTACAACACTTGTTATTTTTAATTATGTAGAATATAGATTATACCTATTAATTGTCATGAACATAATATATAATAATTAATATGGGTTAGGTATAATTACTAAGGATTATGAAACGTACAATATGGTTGAATGATCACACAAATATATCATAACATAATTACGTAGGTATAAGAGTATTAAAAAATAAATTAAATATGAAAGATTATATCAGGCTACAAAATAATTATACCTAATATTAAATATTATTATCTTTGCAAATAATTACGCAACTAACAAAAAACTAAATAATATTAATCAATAATAATTACTCATAAATCATTGGACAAACAGCTATGTAAAATGAAGTGATATCCATAAGAAATAGTAGGCAATAGACTAAAATTACATCTTACATTTAAAATAAGTCCAGAAAAAATTTCAAAAATTAAGTACAAGTGTCAGAAGCTACAGAACTAAAATATAAGTTGGTTCCAAATTTCCAGTGTAAAGTATGATCTTGTTACAAATGTAAAATGTATCTAAGTAGGTAGGTAGGTAGATAGGTAAGTAGATTGTTTTTTATGAACAATTTTTTTTTTAGTTTATAATAGGTACTTTAAGTATCAAACTAAGAACATGAAGGCCACTACAGAAATACTTTTCGACTAAAGGGTTAAACTAGAAACGATTACACATTAGACGACACTGGCCGAACAGCTAGCCCAGAAAAATCAGAACTGCTAGAAACGTGATCAAAATAAAATAAATCTAGTCACAGCTAGAGACCTAAACTGACCGTTGAGGCCAAACACTTCTGGGACCCCAGAGTGGCCCTCAAGCGACTGCGTCTGTGACTCTCTAATCGAGGAAGCATCAGCAGCAGTGGCGGAGGCAATCCGTGATCGGTCACAGCGCCGGACAGACGCGACTGCCTACGACAACATTAACGTGGTGTGCGATGTAGCCATGTAGGTAACAACAAATCGATGTGGCTCACCTTCCGAAACAGATAGATTTATATTTTGCCGACATTAAATTTTTAATGATACAACGGCGGTTGCACGGTTCCACGGTGCGTCGACGGTCTCGGCCGATGGCGCTAATGTTGACAACTGGCACGGCGAGTCTGGCCCGGCGGCGGTGACGGGCAGAAATCGGAGCAGCAGACGCCGCCGTCGTCGCATTCGTGGCCGTCGGGTCGAACGACAGTCGTACCGCCAGCACCGAAGTACAACAGTGAAACGACCAGTGAGCACGGCATACGCGTGTACGCGAGAGTAGAACGTGCGTGTATGTGTGTTTGCGTGTACTGCTTGTTCGCGGGCGCTCGCCGTGTGTTTGTGTGTCTGTGTGTGTCTGTGTGTGTGTGTGTGTGTGTGTGTGTCTGTGTGTGTGTGTGTGTGTGTGCGTGTATGTGTGTGTGTTTTTGTGTGCGCGCGCGAGCTGCAGCTTGTGATAACGTTATTGATTGTCCGTCACTCGCGGCGCGGACGGAACGCTCGGAAAAACGTGACTCACGGGGACGACGACGTCGTTGCGAGCCACAGTGGGAGAACGGGTAGCTCGCGGTGGTTGGACGCGACAGACGGACGTCGGGCGCGCGTTGCGTGTGGCACGTATTCTTGGCGTATGATCGCCGCGCGGTGCGTGTGGCGTGTCAAGCGCGCGGCAGACGCTGATCGCGCGACAGACGGACAGCGTCCCGTTGTTCCGGCGGAGTCGGGACCGCGGACGCTGTCGGAATCGATCTAATGGTCGGGGGGGGGACCACGCCTGCAGGGATCGTCGGGCTCGCGCGTTTGAAATATTAATATAATATAAATATATTATAGCCTATTATAAGGTAAACGGTCTCTGTGGTACTGGGCCTCGCTAAACGGGCCACTACTGTAATAATAATAAATAATTATACATAATATGTACCTAATTGTTCACTTAAAGGGATATCCGGTATAAACGCCCTGAACACAACTCGATGCACTCGAAAGCAGTGTTGTAGGTGGTTGCTGTATTGCGTTATAGTTTATAGCGCATACAAAAATTACCTCAGTTGTATATTTTATGCTCTTATACACACAAGAATACAAGATATTATACCTAAGTAGTATATGCAGTATATAGTATTATAGTAATATAGTGACGTTATTTATACAGTAGCTATGTGGCTATATATAGTGTTTAATAATAATGTATATAAATTATGTATAAATGTATAATATATAGGTATATACCGCGTCTTAGACGTGTTGACGCGTTGATGTGTTGTATATTCCGCGCGTGAGTCGACTGCTGCAGGAGGCGGCGTTGTCGGCGTACTACTATAATAATATCATGTACAACCATAATACTGTCACTAAAACTTGAGTAAAACGTACGTCATATACTCATGTACAAAGCATATACCTAACACCACGTCACGCGGCGGCGTACGGAGAGATCGCTGTCCGCATTATTATATATATTATATATTATATATTATATATAAGTACGCATTATACATGTTATTTTTATGTAAAGTACCTATGTGTGTGTGAGTGTTGTTGACTCCGATGGAGCGCATGTGCGAGACAAATTTTGTGATTATCGGATGCTGCGGCGGCGTACCAAGAGGGTCAACAACAGCAGAGAGGGATGATGATGACGCTGTCTCGCGGTCTTCGAGTTAACCGTGTGCGTATATGTATCATCTGTGCCAGTCTATTGTGCGCGCGCACCTAGTAAGATCACCCTAAAGCCCAACAACTTTCCTAGGAGGAAGTTCGCTTAACACAAACCACGGAACGCAAAAATCACTATATAATAGTATATATAATATATATGACATAATATGTACATTTAGATATATGCAATATTATATATATAATATATAAGCAGTAGTGTCGTAATTAAGGTTATGTAGAAAGGTCAAGTACCCTAAGGCTTCTTTCTTTTTATAATTTATTGTTTTTGATAAAATTTGTCTGCAGATTATCGAAATCAAAACACTGTCAGTCTCATTTTTTCAATGTACCTACCTATTATATATAATATTTGACATTAAGACGAGGGGACTTCCCAAACGAGGTCGAAATAAATGATTTTTTTTTTAAATAACTCTTTTATTTTAGTTATTGCTGTCATGTTAATTAATTATACATAGGGATAGGTTGATACAGAAGATACCTATATGTAGGTGGTGACACTCAAATTTCCTCCCAAATTTAGGTAGGTGACCTATTTTACTCGAATTTCCTCCCATAACATACCTTTAATATTAATTAATATATCGATAGTTGTACGTGTATAATCGATTATTATATTATTTGGTATTGTTCAAAAATAAAATGTTTAAGACATACCTACAGACTACAGTATTTCCCAGACCAATAAATTTTTCGAATGCAATAATCTTATCCGAAATCAGTGATTATCAGTTAATGATTACTGATGATTGTATAACAGAATGATATTTCTTCATTATTATTTTTAATATTATTAATTATTACTGATGTGTCAGTCTATTTATTAAAACATTTATTTTATACAAACTTAAGTTTTTGACTGTATAAATGTAGGTATCGCAGGCGATTCCAGTACAAGATTAGGTAGTGACCCTCTCAGGAGACAATTCGAGTGAATAATATTTTTGAAATCGGGAGGCAATTCGGGGGTCTGATTGGAGGCATTTCGAGGGTCTGATGGGAGGCAATTCATGAGCTCCCATATAGGTAATAGGTATAGGTAGATAACATAAGTCAACAATTTAAGTTTTAATTACCTATGTGGCTATGGTCTAAACTTGAACAGTTGTTTAAAAAATACCTAGTATAAAAGTGGGTAACTACAAAACTTACACGTCTTAAAACAGGAAATCCATTTTTTTCAAATCTAAAAATTGTTGAAAATTATCACTTATTTAAATCTAAAAACAGAAATTACCCCAAATGCAGGAAAGAAAGTTTTGACTGTGTGAAGTTTAAAGTATTAGCTTCAACCACTAAAAAATACGATACAGTATACCTACGAAAGATGATTATGCACTCCTAGTATATTAGACACCTGGATATTTTACCAACACCCGTCAAAATCACCGAAAAAAAAATACAAAAATATTCGAAAGACGGGACTCAACTTTTGTTAAAATCTTAGAGTAGGTATTACGATTACTCAGGTGCAGCCGTCATATTATAATTAAACATTTGTGTTATTTTTTTTCAAGAATTTAAAACGTTAAGAGGGAAGAGGTGGTACCTATCAGATTATCAGAATCAGAGTTCTGAGTTTTTAAATCTATTTATTATAAAATACACAATCTTTTAAAAGAAACATAAATACAGGCTAAAATAATATTGTATACTCGTAAGTACTCAACGATGTGAAATAAGAACTAACCCAAACATTTTAACTTGTCTTCTATTTCCCAAACTAAGCTGCGTGGAGTAAAATATTTTGTAATATTATAGCTTAGGTATTTTAAGATGCGATAAGTATGAAGACATATTTTACATATTTTACATATTTGAGATCAGTGATCACTAATACATTCATATTCATATCCTCACTGAGACCAAATTTTGTACCTAATCAATATACAAATTACAACATGTAGGTATATACTAATATATATATAATATATATATATACAATATAATTAATATATATGATTACGCATAATAATATTATGTCATCAGTAGCGTACTCAGGATTTTAGTTCGGTTAGAGTTTTACCTGAGTAAATAATTTACATAATTTTTTCTATAAACAGTTTTTATATAATTGGTTATTATTAAACACCGGATTTATATTCTCTTAAAATACCTAAAATATGACGCTAATATTCTCTAAAAAACCCTTCAAATATTCTCATTATATTCTCTTAAAAATTTAAGAAATATTCTAAAATATGCAAATTTTGCATAAATATATGCAAAAATATGCAAAAATAATCAATAAACATCATTAATACTTTAATATGCATTTTTAAATTTTTTTTTTCAACATTATTTTAACAGTGAGGTATTAATTAGGTATTAAAAGTTGGGTATTCTATTGGAGTACTATTGCACTTTAGTAAGAGTTGGAAATTATAAAAAAATTTTCTGGGTAGGGCCGTAATATTAAAATTAAAAATAAATACAAATTTTTTTTCACAATTTATGAAATATTCCAAAATATGCTAAATGGGTTAAAGATTCTCAAATATGCAAAAAAAACTTTTTTCCACGCATTCAGAATTGAACGAATCGTCCACATTTTTTACTCTCATTATAAGACTGCATATAACGATACGTAAAAACATACAAACCCGGTTTTAAGTTATTACAAATTATAGTAAGTCTCAAATTTAGTATACATTGAAAAATGAGAGCACTCAAGTGTTTAACCTGGACGCCTGGTCATCCATAGAGCCTCTTCGGGTCGTAATAAACGTGGTAATAACTAATAATCACAGATTATGACAGACCTTTAGCAATGTTCTAATATTTAATAAAAAAATACTTCTAAATTAGCCAAAAAACGGAAACTATGATTATTTGACGTCTTTGTCAAATTTAACAATTTATTTTATTTCTATTAAAAATTACCAGTTACATGGTGGTAAATAAGATTTTTTTGCAAAAGGAAGACATTTCAAGGGGGTCAGAACCTTAGAACCCTATACCTATTGGCTATTCGTATGCCACTGTATGTCATAATACGTCAATCTGCAAAATAAGAAAATTCACTGATTATAATTCCAATTGCTACTCGCAGGATTGGGTATTCATAGAACGACCAACGGGTTGTTGTTGAGATGGTAGGTGCTCATGCACTGGGGATAGGACGATATGATCACACTGGCTAGAGAGTGGTAGGCCGCTTAAATAAAGGGTTCTACGTTTTCAAGGACTATCTTTGTATTGTATCCTTTTTTCTGCCGTTCGTTCTCTTTTTCTCGTTCTCTCTGACATGACGAAAGCATTATGTATTTATGTTAGTGTTGTACAACACTTGAATAAACATAGTTTATATGATAGTCTTGTAGGGTATGACCCACCCTTCCCTGCACATATATAGGTAACAAATGAGCTGTTATTTATTATATTTAAGTTTACTTATACAATGATAATTATTAAAGTAATCGTTTTTATAGAACCTACTTTAAGTTTTAGTTTTAGTCTTTAGTTTGCGTTCCATAAGAGGATCACTCAGATAAGTTGGGTAGGTACTTAACTGTAAAGAATGAAAGTCAAATGAATTATTATATATTTGAAGTGAGGAGAAATAATAATGACTATAATAAGTAATGATTTATGAATTTATGATGGATTTAAACTCTTTTAAAAGGTTGTTGAGTAATGACTAATGAGTATAAGTACATATGTACTATATATATTATATACCTACTGTAAGTATATTATCGGTATTTTGGGTAACACACTGTACATAGCGTGTGGGGTTGGACTGGAGTACTGGACTCGAGAGATCGGTCATCGGTACTATGGATTTTGAGCGTGGTTTGAGTGCCTATACTGGCTATATGCCTATATACTATATTATATAACTACGCGGAAACAGGCGAGTACACAAAAAAATTCGGGGGGTTCATGGTAGATTTTTTTGGGTGAGGGGGGGTCATAATCTATATATATAAATAAAGTACACAGATATTTGTTTTCGGGGGGGGGGGGGGGTTGAACCCCCAAAACAACCCTCTGTAAACGCGCGAGCATGGAAGAGAAGATAATATTACGATGATGTACCTATATATTGTATTAGTATTAATAGTAGTACTAGTAGTAGGTATATTAATATACTATATCTCCAAAAAAAACTTCGGAGAAGTAAAACAAGTCTTCTGTGCTTTACTTAAATGGATTGGAGTACTTGAATTTTGAGGTAAATAAAGAATTGAAATCAATATCAAAATTCTGTGCTTAGTAGGTGCAAGAGAGAGTATAAAGAAAGTTCCTGTTAAAATTGTGGTAAATAAAGAAGTGAAATCAAACCTCAAAATTCTGTGCTAAAACTTAATTGACTATTGAAGAAAATTCGATGACATGCAATTTTACCACATTTTTAGCTAAAAAAAAAAATTGCACAGAATGTTCCACATTTGCCTGCAAAAATTCACATGTCCATGGATGCACTTCTTTCTGTGCAATTTTTGTCATGCCATTATGCCAATATCCATATCTTTATTATCTATGGTCGTTATGGCGTTATTAAACCACAACGAGAGCTAGTGATTCTGGGGGCTCAGCTGTTTCAGATAGTTGGTTCACCAGTCATCATAAAGCAACGATTGAGTTATCGTGAGATAAGCCTTGGCATAGAACCATGGTTAGTGGTCTTTTAATTTTTTTTATCAGTTTAAAGAATTTAGAAATTGATAAGTGATAATTTCAGTCATTCAGTGTAACATACTCGACCTCGGACCTCCAAAGTGTGAATTGCAAAATAACTTTAAGAAATTTTTTTGGTTGTCCTTCAAAATGTCTTATAAATACTTAAAACAGGTAAGCATATTTGTTAAGTGATATTTCTTGAAACAATTGCGTTACAGTTTATATTTGTTTACATTCAAACCTTTTAATGTAATTTATATGTTCTAAAAACTTTAGAAATACCTACTATAAAATATGCATTTATGCTCTTATTTTGTAAAAATATACCCTTTAAAATAATAAATATGTGAAACGTGTTTAAAAAGTTTTACTTAATTGTTTTTAACATTAGCTTTAAATTACAAGTACCTATTTTTCAAGGGTATCACAGTTTTCAATCTGAAAAACTACACTTTGTAGTCAAAGTTTATGTAGTAAAGTTCATGTTTTCCAGTTGACAAATGTTGAATTACTGTAAAACGTTATCTCCATTCTCTTTAACTTTATATTTTAAACAAAACAAAACTAATCCATCTGTTGAAAAAATACAATTATATTTGGCTACATTGGCGCAAATTTAGGGGAGGGCTTGGGGGCTAAGCCCCCAAAACTTAGCCGTAGCCCCCAAAAATCTAGGACATAGAATTTTAAAATGCCATATTGCAATGGTCTACTTGGCTTTAATATATTCAGCCCCCCAAGTCAAAAGTTGAAATTGCGCCTATGTTGTGCGCCTACAAAGTTGTTTGGCCTACTAAACATAGCTGCACTCATTTTATATCTAAGATAATGTAATAAAACAAATTCATTATGAACCATAGTCCAGTGGCGTAGTCAGTGGAGGGAGGAGGGCTTATGGGGCTATAGCCCCCTCCCCCACATTGACTGTGTTGACCTTAGAATTTTATCATGATTAATAAAAAAATATTAAGTATAAATAAAAGATATATGTATTTTTATTTTTTGTATTTATTTGTGAGACAGCCCCCCCCCCCCCCCATACAAATTTCCTGGCTATGCCACAGCAATAGTCCATAGGTATATTATGTAGATAAAACAAAAGAACAATAGTATAACATATGGGTAAGTATGAAACTTAAGTATTCAAATGTAATATTATATAACTGTAAATATTACCAATTTAACCAAAATATTACATATTATGCATTTAAACATCATCTATATTCAATGAAAAATCGTAAAATACAGAAATATGCAGTACATTCAAAAAATAACAAAATAAGGCCGTACTCTGGATCTATTGGCTATAATTCCAACTTGTAGCTTATCTAGCTACTTTTTGGACTGTTTAAAAAAACCATGCAAATATATATAAATTCAGACCCCATTAATAACACACTAATTACCTTATCAGCGACTTGCCATAGTTGATTAATTGGATTTCATCAATTTATTAATTAATGTAAATTTTTTAGACAACTGGTCTCACTAGACTCAATGTAGCCAAAAGTCCACATTATACTCTAGGAGTGTTATACGGAAAAATTCTGCGGACCTTGCGTAAAATGCCAGAGGACGCAGCATATCGAAAGTATACTGAGCAAATAATTAGCAATAGGGCCAAAATCGTTCAAGAAGTATTGATATTATTGTTTTATTGTAAATAAGATTTATAACTGATTCACTTTTAATTCAGACTGTAGCAGTAGAAGATTTTGAAAAGAAAATTGACTGTGGACAAGCTGAAGAATTAATTGTACAGGCTGAAAATGAATTGGTCTTGTCCAGACAGATGTTGGCATTTAAACCATGGGAATCGTTAATTGTCAAACCAAGTGCTGACCAATGGTCCTGGCCTCCGTCAAAGTAATTTGTTTAAATATTGTAAAATAGTTTGATTTCAATTTGTTAGATAATTTAAATATGTATTCCGCAAAATTTTGAATTTTTATTAATAAAGTGAAATATAAAGTAATGCTTTTTATTTAAATAATTAGTAAATAACCTATGTGTAAAGTGTACTTAAATATATTTAACAATATAATGTGAAATTAAAAAACATGTATTATTTAAAAAACAAAACAAAACAAAAATATAATTATTGCATAGAATAAAACAATACGTGTTAAAAAATATGTTAGAAAATATTTTATATATAAAATAAAATTAATGGTAAATAATTACATACTAAATTATCTTAATTAAATTCATATGAATTTATTTAACAGTAACAATAATCAAAATATTAATCTATAAATGTAATTATAAACATTAATAAAACTTTAATGAAGCTGAGCATTCTTCTTACAATAGTCTGCAAAAATAATTACACAAGACATCGCAATTGTGTTGAAGTAACTTATGGTGATTCTAATTGTGTGGATGGAACATAACTAACAACTTCTTCCCAGACTAGTTCTATAACATAAATGTTAAACATGTGATTTAAATTTTAAATTAATGTATTTTTTTATTTTATTAATCCAACATAATATGTTTTTCGTGAAAGCCTTTCAACAGTGTCAATTTAGATGAGTATGTATACCCAGGTACATACAGGTCATTTCAGGTCAAGCCATCAAAAAATAATTTAATTTAAAGATGCTTAATATAATAACTTTTGATGACCATTAAATAATAGTTTTTATTAAAAACTGTATTTTCCAAGTAAGACAGTATTAGAATGATAAGAAAAACTTTAACTAAATAAACTTGAATAATTAACAATACAATAAATATTCAAAATGAGTTCTTCACCTTTCCATTTTTCTACATTTAATTCCATATCTTCAAAGCTTTGATCATATGGAGGTGAATTTGGTTCGTCAGATGGATCAGCATATTGCGCCAGGTATGGATGTGCAAGTGCTTTTTCAGCAGTCATTCTTTTATCAGCGTCCAATTCCAACATTTCTTCTAACAGTTTAATTGCTATCCACAAAATAATTTATTAAGAACTAAAACAATAATTTTTAAATTAAAATGTTACCTAATGGATTAGCTCCTTTGAATACTTCACCAAAATCTTTTTTTGGCATTACCGGTAAAGACTGTATATATTTTTTTGCCTAAATTACAAAATAAAATCTTACAACACAACATAATGACTTAAGCGGACATTACCACAACCAAATAAATGGCAAATATAAGACACACAAACCTCCGAGCTTTTAATTTTATTTAAATATTCATCGGACGGCGTTCCACTCAAAACTAATAAACGTGTTAATTGATCCACATCTAAGTTTAGACGCTGTTAAGGATTATAAGCGTATTTAAATGATACTATAATATGGCACTTACCGATTCACTGGATATCTTTTGCATCAGTTCATTTGATGGGGTGCCTAATATTTCCAAAATCAAATTTAATTGTTGTATGTCTTTAAATATCTTATAAGAAAAATATATTCTATGTTAGATTTTCTTCAATAGTAAATTAGTATAGAAGACTTAAAATTATTTAAAAGGATACGATCTGTGCCAGGAAATAATGTTCTTCCTGTCAAAAGTTCAGCCATAATACAGCCTACTGACCAGATATCAACTATAATTAAAAATAATAAATTATGTGACATTAATAACTTATACAAGGAGTATTATAAATATTGTACTTTAATATTTGCAGTTTTGTATGGCTTACCTTACCAAAATCAAGATAAAAATATTAAATTAATGATTAACTTTGAGATAAAATGTTTATATATTTTAATCAAATAAATAATAATATAATTGTTATTATAATGAATAGGGCCAGACATTATATGCATTACACGTTCATTTTATTTTTTATTTGTTTAAAAAGTAGCTAGGTAAGACAAATGTACGTTTGAATCTTAGCCTAATAAGTTGGCCTGCAAAATGTTATTTTATAAATTTAGGCATTTTTCAAGTATTAGGTATGCATTTTTTAACATTTTAGATTCTGAGCTGTAACTCAGTCAATTGAAATGTTAAAAGTAATGTTTAGTGTTTATCTTGATATTGAAATTTAAATATAAATATGTTATGTATATATATCATTAAACTAAACCTGTCTGATTGTAATGCATCCAGTTTAACATAATCTCAGGTGCTCTGTACCATCTGGTAGCCACATATCCAGTCATTTCACTTTCAGTTGGTCTTGCTAATCCAAAATCTAATATTTTTAGCTCGCAATCTTCATTTACACCAATATTTGATGGTTTTAAATCCTAATTAAAAATTACACCAGAAACGAAATGACAAATTGTATATAATACATCAATCAATTTTACATACTCTATGGATTATTCCAGCAGAATGGATGTACTTCAAACCCCGTAAAATTTGGTAAACAAGAAATTGGACATGATCATCAGATAATTTTTGTGTACGTATGATATTATTTAAGTCAGCTCCCATTAAATGGGTGACCATATATCTATAAGAAAAAAATAAATATTAAGAATACATAAGTTTTATATTATATATAAACTTACAATTGATTAAAATTATTCATAGTATTTGCAGGTGTGAACACGTCTAATAATCCAATCACCTACACATTAAAAACATACAGTTAATTTTAATATCTTGGTTAAATGGTTTTTTAGAGACATTTTCTTATTAATAAACAGGGTATGGGATTTAAAACACTTACAAACGGAATTTTAAGCACTCAAAAAAACTAAAAAAAAACAGATCTCCTCTCAAAATCTTTCTTTTTCCTCTTCTAAAGAAATTCACATGTCTGAATTTTTAAAACTACACTAGTAGATAACTTATCTTTTTTCATTGTACATGTATAAATTAAATAAATAAAAGACCACACACAGGGCCTGGTGTGGCTCGGCAGTCACTAACGTGTTATGAGGTCAAGCGTCTCTATACCCCGGATGTGTAACCACCCGAATATTGACTAATCCTCTTCCATCATACACCTGTTCCTCAACCAACTGTCACCCCTTCTCCCCTACAACATGGTAATATCTGTAGTTGCTGATGCTTAAGATCAATAAAATAAAAAAGACACAACCCAACAAACAGCACAACCGAGAAGGTTGGTTTGTAATAATTCCAATGTGTGGATGAGTGATTTAAAAATGTTATTGTTTGGATGACTTTTATTATTAGGTAACCTCTTTGCTGTATAGTAGGTTTCAAATTTACCTCTTCATTGAGGTCACTGTAATGCATGTGTTAAATTTAAACTCAATGATAATCATTGTATACGATGAAAAAGATTCTGAGTGGAAAAGTTCAACTTTTAGGTAACCAAGATCACCAGACAATTATTTTCAAAATAATATTAAAATTTGAACAAATGTTTATAATTTTTTTGTAATCCTGATTATTTAGAAATTTTTTACTTTAAATCCTTCAAAGTTGAGTTTTACTATCAAGTGTCTTCAGACACTAAAACAACACACATTGTTGTGTTATAACTACATTCATTGTTCCACTCAGAATCCAAAACTAGAAAAAAAAGCATTTTAAAATAACTACCGAACTTAGCAAAAAAAATGATTTCATATTTCAAATAGTGGTAACATAACATACATTTCCTAGCACTGTGCTAAAATGTAAGTAAATCAAAGTAAACCCTGATAATATCTTATAGAAAAAAATAAAGAATTCATTTTTATAATTGATATTAAGTACCAATATTCGATGTTTTAGGATAATGATTGACATTGAAAAGCATGAAAAAATTAACCCGTGTGGTGAAGTAATTCAATTTTATAGTATAAACTGGGGTATAAACTTATATATTCTGCCATTATTTTTATTTTAAATTTTCAATGAATACTTAATATATTATTTGACAAGAATTAAATATAGTTAAAAAATTATAAGCAGATATTAGGGGAAGCTAGTGAGCTAAACTCCTTAAGAATGTGTTCAAACCCACCCATAAGATCAAAATAATTAAAGCATAGTTATTTTGATAAAACATTTCAAGTCCCATGGCTGAAATAAATAAAAATTACCTATGACTTGAATGTATTTATGCAGAGTGAGATGTAGTCTTTAAAAATTTATCAATTAATATCAAAAAGGACATACATTTTCATGGTTCATGTGTTTTAACATGCGAAGCTCTCGATAGGTACGTTTAGCATGAACCGCTGACTGAAATGGTCTGGCAAGTTTTTTGATAGCAACTTTCAGCCCCGTCTGATTGTCAACAGCCGAGCTAAAAAATACAATAAAAAAAAAGATCATGCAGTTTATTGAAAATAATAAAATAATTTAAATAGAAATTAGTAGGTAATATTAAATACCAAACTTGGCCGTAGGCACCAAGACCAACAGGAGTGAGCATTTGATACCTATCGGGTACTTCCCATTCGGTCTTGTTAATTTCGATTTTGTAATACTTCATCGTGAAACGCTGGTTTGAAGTCTGAGAAGGATCTATGACTATAAATTATAATATTATAATAACATAATATAATAACTGTACCGATATAATATTATTGTGTACTATTGAAATTTGAAGCTTATCAAATAAACGTGACCCTCACGATACAAATGAAAACGATTATTATCGAATCATCTTTGTGTATTGGAGAACTGTGGGAGTGCGGGCTGCTTCGGCAGTTCAACGCCGCCTAAACACCTACCTATATATTTAATAGCTACTAGTTAGTGGGTCTATTATATTTTTTATTTTTTTACTTGAGAAAAAGAAAAGTTTAAGATTATGTTTCTGAATCGTCGACTGTGATTGGTGGGACAACGCAGTTCGAATGTGGGCTTTCACTTCGCCCTGAACCAAGAATCAAGATATTACAATTTAACACAATGATAAATTGATAAACTGCAGCTGATAACGCGGAAACGCGTTAAATCGACAGTAATAACAGAAAACGATTTACGAATTTACGATAAAGATTATTAATTAATAATTAGTAATTACCTATTCTATTACCATAACACTTTTGAGTCTTGACTTCTTGAGACTTTGCTCTTGTCTTCGTGGACTGGGAAGTTATGGTCTATCTGGCGTCTACAACAAATCGAAAAGTTCTAAAACGAAATTTATCATTTATACCTTAAATATCATAAAACAGAACGCGTGGAAGAAAATTGATACATAAAAACGTGTGTGATTAGATGGATGCTATCCAAATTGTAATTATCAATAATCATTCATCAATGGCTATAATATCGATAAATTATCGACAAAACAACTAGCGACGACTAGGAAATTGCGGAAAACTAATAGAACTATCTTCGTAGAATACCTACAGAATACAGCGTTATTCCTCCTATCTAAACAACTTACAGTTTTAACTTACTATAGTTTCACGTATATCGATTACTCGATTGCCAAGACACATTACGATTACTCATTAGTACATTACACAAGTACGAAACCACGATTGGCGATTAAAGATAATGTATCTTTAATCGTGTTTACAACCAAACGTTATCAACTATCACCAATTTCGAAGGTCAACACTACAAAAGTACAACCACAGGACAACTTCACTCATCAGTTATTATTATTTATTATTTATTTATCAATATTATTATTTATTAATATTCGATATTGAAAAGACGAGAACCGGGACTTCCTCTAATCGGCTGACGGCTATCGCTATTAATAATTGTCTACAATATTATTTATCCGCATTCCGCAACATATCGTAGTGGTGTCGTTACTCGACAATCGTTGCTCAGTGCTCACTAATTATTGCACACGTTAAAATTCTAAATTGCCTACGGGCTATGTGCACACTTTGTCGGATACTAGCTATTCACATGACACATATTATTATAATATACTTAGTATACTTATATAGTTACCTATATACTTAGAGATAGAAGTGTAAATATTATATAACTATTAAATTAGTCTATTATTTGCGTTAATGTAATTATTAATAATAGGTATATTTTATTGAACGTCGGTCGTCAATTGAATGATGAAATGATGGTATTGAGTATTGACTAGCTGTTGACACTATAAGTGCCAAGTGGTTTCGGTGGAGTAGGACATATTTTTATCCGTTGGTCCGATTTCTAAGGCAGAAATTTCACTTCCATTGCGTGTATAAAATATAATTAATGGGGGTTTGGATATAAATTTAGATTTTAATAGTACCTATAAAAAAAAAGGTTAGGTTAGGTTACAGTACAACACTAAACACTACAACAGTACTACTGTAAATTACAATGTGTTGTTGTAAAATATTGATCTGTCTAGTATTTGATGTACCTAATGTTTATATACATACAGTATTATAAATTACATATTATAATTATTAATTTATAATCGGTATTCAGAGGCGTAGCCAGGAGGGTTTCAAGCCATCCGCATGGTGGGGTTATTAGTAATTTTAGTTATAGTAATTTTTATCTTGCCTCAGCTCCGGTGGGATTTTATCCTGCGGGCGCGCTTGGGGGGGGAGGTTTGATTGTTCAACCTCTCTCCCCCAACCGACCATTTCCTTTTCACCATAATAAATGTATTATTTATTATGAAAGCTATAAAAAACTTTGTTTAATTTAAACTTAAACCTGTGGGGTTAACCTTCATAACCATGGCTACGCCACTTTTATAATCTAGACACGCGGTAGCGTGTCAAGCCAAGTTCTAGCTAACAGAACTGGCGAGCAGCACCGTGTGTAATATTACACGAACCATTTGGAGCCACTTTTGACCCCTTCATAACTCAAAAACTATTCCACATAAACATGTCAAATTTGGCTCATATATTGAGACTAACGAGATACATATGTGCTCTAAATTTCATAAACACACTTCAAACCGTTATTTAGATATTAACATCCGAAAATCGTCATTTTTATCACTGACTTACCTATAGATCAAAATTCTAACCCAGTTCCAGATGACCTAGATAGTTCAAATTTGGCATACAGATAGGTAGTTAGGTAAATACAAAGGAAAAAATCAGAAACTTGAAAATTTTTAATTTAAAATTTTTTAATTTTAATTTTTAATTTTTTAGTTTTTAATTTTTTAATCAATTGATTTTATTATAATTTTGCAATTATTTTATCTATTATGTTTAATTTTTCAATTTATTAATGAATTGCCTCTAATTTAATGTAATGTTGACTTAAATAACCTTTCCCGTATCGCCGCTCCAAAAATACGACTAGCCAAATATGTGTCGATATTGTCGACCCGCGCGCAGCAACATACTTTTTTTTCTATCTATGTATGTAATTAATATTATTTTTTTAAATATTACAATTAAAATAATTAAATAATTATTCTTACAAATTATGAATTATCCACCCAACAGTAGAAACTACAGTCAATAAAATTATGATAATTAAAAATATACTCAAAAAGAGTTAAAATAATTGTATATTAATTTTACATATATTTTATACTCTGTATATACAACGGAAAATATTTTATAATAAATATTATTATTAATATTAGTAACTGAATTATATTATATAGTAATAAACTTTATTTATAGAATACGTCATGGCTAGGTTAGGTTAGGTTACAATAATTTAAATACAAAAAGTAATGATATCCCACCAAAAACATATATGTAAAATGAGAGCCAAGTTCAATACTATAATATATGCCTTGGTTGTTGACTTCAGCGACAAAAGAAGTGAGATCTAAATGGGTGCCAAGTTAGGATAATATATTGAAGCCTAAGGTCTGACTTGGCTACGAATTATATATTATAGCATTTGCAAGTTCTAAAGCTTTGAGTTCTTATTTTATTCTTCGGAAAATCATCTTCACTCTTCCATTACTGTTTTAGTAGGTACTTATAATAATTCGTATATGAAAAGTAGCCAAGTCACACCTTAGGCTTCAATATACTATCCTAACTTGGCACCCATTTAGATCTCACTTCTTTTGTCGCTGAAGTCAACAACCAAGGCATATATTATAGTATTGAACTTGGCTCTCATTTTACATATATGTTTTTGGTGGGATACCTATTACCTACTAACATTACTCATTATTTTAGATTCTGAGTGGAAAGATGAATGTATTGATTTTACAATGATGTGTGTTTTTTTTTATTTATTTTTTTTATATTTTTTATTTTTTATATTTTTTTTATTTTTGTGTCTGTCCTCACCTTTTAGGACAGTAAAAGTGCTTGGATTTTCTTCAACAGTATCTTTTCTGATAGGAAAGTGAATCTAGTTGGTACTTTGGGGGGTCAAAAGTAAAAAGTCCTAGTAGTTTTTAAAAGCGCCGTAAAAAACAAAAGAAAAATTATGGAAAAACTGGAATTTTTACGCAAAATTTGTTTTCGAGAAAATCGATTTTGGTTTTTGGTGTACCTAACTCTAAAACAAATGAATGTATATACATGAAATTTTCACTGGTTGTTTACATTTGCATTTTCTATACACGATAAAATTGGCTCCTACTTCCTAGTATATTGTTTCAAAGGCAGATAAAAGGTAGATATTTTTTTTTATAAGCATTTAAAGTTCAAAAATTGACAAAATATAGAAAAATCACGAAAATTAGCAAGAGTTAAGAATTCGTAAAAATTTTCTTTTTAAATCTAAAATTTTAAAATGTAATACAAGATTCCTTATAAGATTATCTACCTTTATCAAAAAAAAAAATGTCTATAAGAAAGTCAAATTAAATTTTCATGAGCGTTTGATATTCAAATTTTTACAACATTGGATATTCACTCGATTTCTCATGTAGCGATTTCCTTATATTGTTGTAATTCAAAAACGAATAACTGTAGATACATGAAAATTTCACTGAATGTTTATATTAGCATTTCCTATACAGCATACAATTATGAAAATATTTTGACTCTTTTTGAGCTGTTTACGGACATTTACAGTTTTTAATTTTTTTAGTTTATTTTCTATATATAACAATAAAGTTTTATCTGTTGTGCCAAAAAGTGTAAAAATTTAATACAAGTCTCCTGATATACCTATTGTTACAATATCAATTGAAAAATGTTAAAAATACATAGGCAAAATTTTTTTTTATAAGCGTTTAAAGATCGAATTTTGACAAAATTTATCAAATTTAAAATTGAATAATTATTTTGTAGTTAAAAATTTATAAAATGTTCGACTTTTATATCTAATATAAGGATTGAAAATTTAGAATAAGATTCCATGTAAGAAGTTAATTTTGTTACCAAAAAATCTAAAAAATACAGAAGGTCAGTTTATTTTATAGTTATTTTAAGTTCAAATTTGGACGAAATTACATAATAAAAAACCTAGAATAACTATTTTAGTTATTTTGTTGTGATTGTATAATATTATTCGTGGGTACTTGAAAATTCTAAAGTACACTATTATATATATCTATGATAGTATCAAGGTTTGTTGTTGATGTATAAGTATAACGCGTTATAAGTACCTAATTTATATTGTGATATGATTAATTTGGAATTTATTATAGGTAATTTTTTTAATACCATAAATAAGTAATAATATGTTTTATACAATTATACATACACTGACATACCGTCTCCGCTCAAAATCGTTTTTCTTATACAATGATATTATATCATTGAATTCAAATTCAATACCATCCATTATACAGTGACCCACTTGTAACCTACTGTACCCAGTGGCGCCCAACCCTATTACTAGGTGTAGCGGTCGCTATACCTTGAAAATAAGGGATGGGTAGGTATAATCAGGGCCGGACTGGGTCAACAATTTCTACCGGGAAAATAAAAAAAAATCGGCCCACTTAGGTATACCTATAAAAACAACCTTAAAAACATATTTTTCCGAGCATAAATGATTCTAAATGATCATGACTCAATGAATTTCTTATTCTATTGAGAATATATTTCAATTTTGAAAACATTCTTTCACAAGCTACTTGTGTTGACGACAGTGATAGAATGAATTTGTATGCAAAAAATAGTGTCTTGTAAGCTTCGCTGTACAGATTATATTTCAGTAGTACTATATAGCAACACAAAATACAATTTCGACACGCTTTAATTTTATTACATAATATTGACGATTTTTTTTCAATTTCTAAATTAGAATTGTTAGTGCTTTTTTTTAGTTCTAATTGCTGTTCCTCGTCAATAAAATTATCAAATTCGTACTCTTCATCAAGTTTTAATTTTAAGCGGTCCCATTTTGAAGAAAAGTCTTGTAGTTAGTAGTTCATATAACAAGTTAGCTTTTGTTATACTCTCGTCGCGATTTACTAAATGCTCAACTAATTTTGTAAATTAGGTGCAAACGTGCGTTACGATAAGAAAGTGATAACCGATTAACGATCGGTTTTTGGCAATTTATACATTTGTTCATATCTATTTTGAGGAATTTCCTTAATATTTTATCGCACACCCATGTTCAAGGTTAGATTATATTCAATTCAATCGCATTAGATTATTATTAAATTTGAAATGTGATAGATTTTGTCAAAATTTGAATTTTAAATAATTATAAAAAAAATTGTGCCTATGTATTTTTAATATTTTTCAAGTGTTATTGTAACAATATATCAGGAGCTTTGCATTCAATTTTTAAGATTTTTTACCATACAAATAAAATTTTATTGATATGAATAGAAAAAAAAATTAAAAAAATTGAAAACTGAAAATGTCCGTAAATAGCTCAAAAAGAATCAAAATATTTTCAAAACTATATGGTGTATAGGAAATGCTAATATAAATATTCAGTGGAATTTTCAAGTATCTACAGTCATTCGTTTTTTAATTACAACAAAATTAGAAAATCGTTACATGAGAAATCGAGTGAATATCAAATGTTGTAAAAATATGAATTTCAAACGTTGATAAAAATTTAATTTGAGATTCTTGTAGACATTTTTTTTTTGATAAAGGTAGACAAACTTATGAGGAATCTTCCATTACATTTTCATATCTTAGATTTAAAAAGAAAAATTTTTATGAATTTCTAACTCGAAATAATTTGCAAATTTTCGTCATTTTCACGTATTTTGTCAATATTTGGAATTTAAATGCTTATAACAAAAAACTGTGACTAAGGATTTTTAATATTTTTCATCTGTCTTTGAAACAATATATTAGGAGCCTTCTATTAAATGTTTAAGCTTTTATACCCAAGAAATAAAATTTTTTTGATACTTATAGTAAAAAAAACTAAAAAAAATGGAAACTAATAATGTCCGTAAAAAGCTCAAAATAACTCAAAATATTTAGAAAATTTTATCATGTATAGAAAATGGAAATATAAATAACCAGTGAATATTTCATATATCTACGGTCATTTGTTTTAAAGTTACACCAAAAACCAAAATCAATTTTCTCGAAAACAGATTTTGCGTAAAACTTCCCGTTTTTCCTTAATTTTTCTTTTGTTTTTCACGGCGCTTTTGAAAACTACTGTGAAATTTTTGCTTTTGACCCCCCAAAGTACCAACTAGATTCACTTTCCTATCAGAAAAGATACTGTTGAAGAAAATCCAAGCACTTTTACTGTCCTAAAAGATGATGACAGACAAAAAAGAATTCGTGAATTCGTAAACAGTTGTCAATATTTGTAATGAAAAGAAAAATTCCGAACCAATAAACCACGATAGTTTATAAATGATTGGTGAAATACTGAAATAAACTGAGGGTGCTAGTTTGAAGCTTGGGGGTGCTAAGCACCCCCAAGCACCTCCCTATGTGCGCCTATGCTGGTCCCTAATATACAAAAATATGATCTTAAATAAACAATAATAATTTCACTTAACAAGCTTAAGGCTACCGTATTAATAAATAATAATAACAATATAAATTATAAATATTATATATTATTTAAAATATCCTAGGCTGACAAACCGTCTCTGCTCAGAATCGTTTTTCGTATACAATGATATTATATCATTGAATTCAAATTTAACACCTTGCATTACAGTCACCCAATTGTAACCTACTGTACAGCTGAGCGAATTCAAATTATCCGCATTATTTTGTTTATTTTTAAAAATACATTACATTTTTCCAGTTTTATATTGTTATTTTAATTCAACAAATTTTTATTAAGTGTATTATAATTTAAATTCATTTTAATCATAGAAAAATTCACAAATGTACACTATTATAAGCTAAAAATGATTTTTGATGGCTTGAAACATATTTAGTATTTTTGGTATTACCACAACAATTAATTTAAAATATGTATTATTACTTATAAGTTATAACATCCCCCCCCCCTTTTTAAATTCCTGGGCAAGCCAATGTGAACATAATATATAGGTCAAAATTCAAGTCTCGAAGTAATTGAACATCAGCAGTCATTATGATTTATGAGTTTATTGTTTATGAAGTATAAATGTATTATAATAATATTATGATGATAATGTGTGCCGTGTGGTTGCGATTGCCCTATAAACCACGATTAAAGATAGTATGGTTGCGTGACGACGACCAAAAATGCGGCGATAGAAGTGCTTAAGTCTAAACTGACTGCCTAGTGCTGCTATCTAGTAGTTAAATGTAGAAAAGACGAGTTTTTACATATAAGTATATAACCACTAGATATGTAATTACTAATTCATTGTCTCATACTGTCATACGTCGATATTAGCTTTTTTATTTTTTTTGATATTTACATTGGAAAAAATAAATTAAAAAGTCAACACATTTTACAGTTACATATCGCACCTTTCTTTAACCGCTTCCTTTGATAACATACCTGTAAACATTTTATTTTGACAAACATTCATTGTTTTTTCAGGCATAGCCGCATAGGCGTGCGCAGACTTTATTCTCAGGTTATGCAATAAGGAAAATAGGGCCCCCTCACAAATTCTAATCTTTCCTTTTATTTATTCTAAAAAACAATTCTAAGCCGTTAAACATTTTTTTTAACACGTATAGGATTCAATTTACAATCTAAGTTTTTGCAAATAATATACTACTTAGCTTTTTTGCTTCCCTCGGAATCTGAAATCACACATAGTTTTACAGTAGAATATTAAACAACGCGCTGTAGAAATAAGTAGTTTGAAATTTGAATTATATTTATTTAAAGAAAATTTGATCAAGTATATACTAGTATGAATGTTTTTGAATAACTTTAACACATTAATAATGTTGTTATTTCATGGAAGGTACCTACTTAAAATCTAAACTCTAAAGTTCAAGTCTTCTTTTTATCGGCACACATGTTTTGAATTCATCTATTACTTCTTCAATATTGATTTCTGATGCCATTTTTTTCTTGATAAAAATTAACATCAGTGAATCAAGACGTTCTTGTGACATAGTACCGGACTCAGTTATAATAATAATATTGTCTTTGATTACAAACTATAAAAACAATAATAATTAGGTACCTATTCTATTCTTGCAACATAGATAACTATATCTACGTGTTACGCTTTAGTATATTAATAGTTTAGATTATCTTGCGGGTCTCGAGAAAAGTGAAACCTAAATTTTTATTATTTTTTTTTTATAATATAGAAGATATCAAAAATGCTTTGGTACCTGTATTATATATGGGCCCCCCACATAAAGCCGCAGACTATGCAGCGGCATACCCTGCATACCCTGTGCGCACTCCTATGTTTTCAGGTATAAATAGGTATATTAATTTTGCAGATTTGCTTTACATTGTTTTTAATGTTCTCTGTATCTTTTTTAGTAGGTACCTACATACCGAATAATGATTCAAACCAGAATTCCAACAGCTTATTATGTCGCATTCATTAAAATGAGAAGCACATACGCGATGGCTTTTTTTTAATTTCATGCCTAAAGCCTCCTCCCATTTATATTTTTCCAACTCATTCTTCGGTACTTCAAAAGTGGTGTTTGCAACAGAATGTGGTGAGCGAATGCAACAAGACATTTTTGGGCTAGTTGTAACTTTTAATTAAAAGAATAATTCACAATTTTTTATATAGTATATTAGAACGAGATGTTATGTCAGTGTGTAAAATACTGTAGTAAATCACAGACGATAAAAAACAAATTCCTGAATCCCGATCGTACGATTCCTAAATTAATAAATATAATAATATATTTACACACAATTACACTGTGGTCTACCGCCATGCTATCTATGATTGCAGTTAAAACCACATATATTAATTCTTGTGAATTTATTGATCAGTAGACAGCGCCACCAAGCAGTCAGATTAACTGTAAGCACTATCGTGGCCGCTTCAGCCTATACATTATCATACGTCGTCACGCAACCATACTATCTTTAATCTCTTATATTATAAAACGAGGTTAGTCCCCAGTTTTGTCCACGGGGATAGACGACTTTTGTGTCGTTTTTCCGGCCCGGCCAATCGCAACGTTCAGATTCTGCGGCGGGCAATAACCGCGTTATCACTTCTTTTCTTATCATTTTTGAAATTTTCGAAATTTACACTTTTTACACGATTTCGACCGTTTTCTAGCCCTTTTCGCTCATATTTATATTTGATTCGCGTAGCTCGCGATCTCTCGAAGCCGCCGGTGTGCGGTTTATATCCGTTCGCCGTCCGTAGCCGTCGCAATGTCGATCGCAAAATACGCTCCCGGCCGGACTTTTTTGCCGATTTCTTTCGTTTTCTCCGACAGTTTCGTCTTTTCGCACGTCGTTCGTGCCCGAATCGTGTAGTTGACGTCTTTCTAAAGCCGTATATATACGCTTTTCTTACGAAATCGGTCGGTTCGCTTCGCAATCGCGTTTAGAAATTACGACCGACCGTACGCGCATAATACATGTATATACGTGTATAATTTAATTTTTGCCTATTGATTTAATAATTATTAATGGAAAACGCTTTTCACGAGCTCCGTTAAATTTATATATGGGAGATGAGCGTATTACAAGCGAATTATATGCGATTACATCGATGAACATCGAATATATCGGCTTACGTCGCTCCTTAAACGCACGGCTTAATTGTTGATGTTTTGACCGTAATTCATAACTCAAATTGTGTCCGAGTAGGTTAGGCGTTAGGTAGAAAACACGTAGGTTCCGGGTTCGAATCCGCCGTACGCTCTCGGGGCGTCGCTGCGGTCATTGCCATACGGTCTACACGGCCGCCCGAATCCCGAATATTTTTTGCATTTTTTTTCCGTAATTTTACAAATTTCCGATCTTTTCTCTTTACTATTATTATTATTTTAACTTTACTTTGTGTATGTACGTTCAATTTTTGTTAATTAATCTACCATATTTCATTTTTTATGTATTAATATTATATGTATTTATGTAGGTAAGCATGTTTTTTTTCGATTTTCTTACGTTATTTTACAAATTATAGTTACTGGTTTTTTTAAATTTTTATAATATTACTTGACTGTATCTATGAATATTTTTACTACTAAATTTTTATACCATTATATTATGTCATGTCCCTTCATCGTTGTATTTTAACTATTGTATTTTTACCTGATTAATTGTTTATTTTAAAAAAAAGTATAATGTCATGTACATAATTGTAATTTAACTATTGCATTTCTTACTAATTGCATGCCTGTATATAAAAAAATATATTATATTGTGTATAAATGTAATTTAACTATTAAATTGTTTATATAGAAAAAATATACCTAATGTTAAGTACATAATGTAACTTAACTATTAAATTGTTTATATAGAAAAAATATACCTAATGTTAAGTACATAATGTAACTTAACTATTGCATTTTTAACTAATTATTCTAAACACGGTTTTATGTATTCATTACGGTTTTACAATCACTGTCAATTCATTTGTTTGTTTGTACAAAATATATCTTATCATTGTAGGTACTACTATTTCAACTATGTAACCATAGATTTATCCCCGGGCGTATAATTTTCGTGGGCGTATTTTTAAGGTTTTAAATATTTTGTAAATTGAAAATTGAAAATGGACTTTAAAACAAAAGTCAAAACTAAGTTCAAAATAATATTTCACAAGAAATGTGTAATATTGGGTATGTGAATAAAATAAAATAATTTTATTTTTAATCGATATTAGAAATAACTAATAACATTGATTTAAATATTAAAAAGGACAAATATGAAAAAGGTAAAAAATAGATAAAAATATAAAATAAATAAAACCCGTCCGAAACTTACTGTCAGCGGGAGTGTACATGCCTTAGTCTATCATAAATAGATTAATGTACTCTCCGATTAGTGACATAATAAAGTATGGTAAATTACATCATTTTCTTGCATATAATATAATATTATGTAGATAGTTGTTTAAAACCTTAATCTTAAAAATCGCACTATTAATTGTAATTCATTGTTATGTGATTTTAAATTAACAACTATACATTTTTCCAAATAGGTAGGTACTGCATAAAATTATGTACTACATAAAATGTTACTTAGGTACTAATGATTTAATTGTTTTCAGATTATTTATTAAATTACACGTTCGTACCTAGACTTATAAAAGTCTTTGTATTTAACAACAAATGCCTTTTTATAAACTGAACTTTTTTATAAATGTCACCATGGCCACTAGATAAATGTAACAGAACACAAAATGGAATATAATTTGTCATTTGTGTTTGCTTTTTAGTTTTTAAATAGGTACAAGTATACAACTATTAATTTACTTGATAAACTTGATACTACAAAAGTACAACATAATTAAATGATTAAAACAAAAATACTATCCTATTGATTGTAGCCCAAGACAGATTGAATATTATGTTTTACATATTATATTAAAATAATTTAAAAGGAAATTTATATTCTATTTGGTTCGTTTTTTTTTTATTATAAACTGTGTTTTTTGTCTGATTTATTTTATAGTTCAAGATGTCAAACAGACAACCAGGTCCTTATTATTCTGGAAATTTTTAAAATGTAGAATGTAGAATGTAGTTATTTTAGTATATAGGTACATTCAATCCATAAGTGATAATCCATGATAAATATTTCTTTGTCGTGTTATAATCATTATATTACAATTTTCAGTACATAATTACATTTTTGTTTCATTGTATTTATTCCGTACCTAGGTACATATTATTAGTTTTGATTGTAACAATTATTAAAAATGAAAATGTATAATATTGATAGGTATGTTGTAAATTAAATATTGTTCTTTTACATAAAGCGTCCTATATTAAAAGTAAGCAATAGATACCTAATTTAGATTTGTTAATAAATAATTCATACATGTTATTATTATCAATATTATTTATTCTAAACCTGGAACTTAGAAATATTGACCACAGATTTTAGCTTTAAATACACCATTAAGAAGTGCTTCTAAAACTATATTACGTGAATAGTTTAAATTTTAAAATGTTTCATTTTTAAGTTAAAATCGTTCAAATTATTTGTGGTAAATAAATGATCATAGGCGCACATTGGGTGTGAATTTAGGGGGTGCTGGAATAATTTATGATTCACAGATCCGTGGGGGGCTTTGCTCCCCACACAACCCTAAATCCTAATATTTCTGCATTGCATTAGATTTAATTTGTATAGTGTATTCAATAATATCTAATGTGCAATGTATCAAATAGTCTGTATGATTGTACAGAAGACGCTGGTACACCAACATGTGTTGTCTCCGTATTACAAACGTAGGTACAACATAGGCAAAACTGTTTTGCACGGCTATAAAAAACTTTAAGGCTGTACTCTAAGCTAAGAAAGTAAGAAACTAAATGTTCACACTATAAATATGAGAAAATTTACTGTGTAACTTTGTTTTTATATTTCATAAAATTTGAAAACAATATATTAGGAGCCTTCTATTACATTTTTAAGCTTTTATACCCAACAAATAAAATTTTATTGATACTTATAGAAAAAAAACTAAACAAAATGGAAACTAAAAATGTCCATAAAAACCTCAAAATAACTCAAAATATTTAGAAAATTTTATCATGCATAGAAAATGGAAATATAAATAACCAGTAAGATAATATAATTTTCTATAATGATATGATATAATTATATGATTGCTACATACTGTTTAATGTTTTGACAAAAACTGAAACACTGAACCATGCATTCACACAATACTGTTTTAATCGTGAATTCGTAAACAGTTGTCAATATTTGTAATAAAAAGAAAAATTGCGAACCAATAAACCACGATAGTTTATAAATGATTGGTGAAATACCGAAATAAATTGAGGGTGCTGGTTTGAAGCTTGGGGGTGCTAAGCAAACCCAAGCACCCCCCTATGTGCGCCTATGTAAATGATTGGTCCTGCAGTGCATTTGGAAAGGTTTTGTAAATGTTGGTCCTCAGTTCCTCGCAATACTGTGTGAGTGTGCTTGATTTTTCGTAAAAAAAAATACTAATTCTGGTCATCTCCCTGGATGGGCGTATTTTTTTAATTTTCCCCGGGTGTTAAAAAGCTATGATCCGGCGCTGTATGTAACTAACATCCGACTTTCTGTTTAAAATATTGTTTATCTACTGTTTTTGATTCAATATATTATACATACCATACTAAATCAAACTGTTCAAATACACACACAATTTGTTAAAATAAATAAATAATATTAATAGTATCAATGACGTACTGCAAGTTAGGTTAAGTTAAATTATACTTTTATTAAAAACGATGTAATAGATAGGTATGTATACTAAACATATTATATTTTTTAACAAAACAACAAAAATGGCAATGTACCATATTCAAATGGATTTTAATATTGACATCCCTATGATTAATTTTGTTAATAACATGCACTAAATAGCCTTGATCTGATCATAACAATGATCGTATATTTATTTTCTTGGAATTAATTAGGTACATTAAGACAGTGTAATTTATTATGACACCTAATTGTGTTTATAATATGTTTTTATCATTTATCATACAATAAACACACATTTATATAAATATATAGGTACTTTGGGATTTTCTATTTTT